GAAATGAAACCAAATAAACTAAATAATTGAAGTTGAAAATGCACTGCCTGGTAGTAACTTAAGACAAATTATGGAATATAATGTCAAAGGGATTAAGATAGATGTTATTATAACAAAATTAAGAGAACAACCAAAGGGAGGCAAGAAATGAAACTAACTGTGTGTGCCCAAGAAAGAGAAACAACAATCACAGCATAATAATGTTTCACTTCATAAGTACTATAATTTTCCAACCCATTTTCCCCCCTTTTTGATGATATTTTTTAGGCCCAACATTTCAACATAACAGGCACATCCCAGACTCATCCTTTGTCCCCAATTCCTTCCAAAAGTGGAAGGAAAAGGAGGGAATGTAGACAAGGAAAACCTCGTGCAGAGGCACCTCTTTCTATTTATGGGAAGATAAGGTTATTACAGCTGACTTGGCTATAAGTTTCAATAGCAGTTTCACCCAAGAAACAAATTGTCACACATAGGGCTCGTCCTATTGTAATTATAGTGATACTATATACAGAACAAGAATAAAGGAATTCAATAAAATAAAATCCTTAACGGAACAATTAAATACGAAACACATAAGCAGCAGCAGAAATTTACCTCATCAGAAGAGTCAGATAGAGCTTTCAAAAGAGTGTCAAATATGTCATTTAGAAAACACAAGACCTGTTTTAGGTTTAAAAAAAAAATAAGCATCATCTATATTTGGCATATGAAATTTAAAATGAATATAAAAGTCAAATTATAGATTTCAAATGAGCTTATACACTTTTTCCTTTGAAAATTATCATGCCTTTACACAGGTAAATGTGGACTTTTTTATACATGGAAATATTTCAGGTATGCAGCACCAATGTGCTTCACCAAACATGAAAACCACAACTTATAAAAGATATGAGATTTTACCTAGGGAGCCTTTAAATCCTTCAACAATGACAAAAACATGGACCTCTAAGTTTTTTGCAAGTAATGATCACTATGATGATAGTAAAAGACTAATATATTATGCACACCACCAGATGTATATGAAAGTCACAAGTAACAAGCTCATCACCTCAGAACGATGTCTGTCTAAAAGGGTTGATATCCAGTGCAATGCTTCAATTCTTGTGGCTTCCCACTCACTATCCAGTTGCCTGATCAATAAAAAATTATAATAATCACTACAAAATCATTGTAATGTGAAATTATTTTAGGAGTAAAACAAGTAACAGTTTTCTGCACTTCTTTATATAGCTCTTGAAATACAGAAGAGTTATATGTAGCCATTTGTTCAGGAGTAAGTGCAAACTGCTAGTAACATTTCAAACCTAGAACTTTTCTCAGGTAAAAAAAACTACACCTCCTTGCAATGGAGAGAATGGCTCCCACGTTAAAGGCTTCTTCAGGTTCACCCTTGATTGAACGAAGCTCCTCATTGGTTTCACGAGCAACCTAATAAGAAAATATAAACACAAACAAAATTAACAAAAAGGAAAGAACTCCAAATAAGTTTCTAAAAGACATTGCAGATAGTTATGGGGAGAACCCCAAATGAGTTTCTAAAAGACATTGCAGATAGTTATGGGGAGAACCCCAAATGAGTTTCTAAAAGACATTGCAGATAGTTATTTAAGATACATTAAGGAGAATATAAAATAAGAAAGCTTACCACTCTAATTTTCTCTTCTTTATCAGATATGCAGGGGAGAATTGCTCCCAGTATGTCAGCATAGTAAGGAACAAGCTGATCTCCACCAAGTTTTACAAACTCATTTATCTGTAAAACGAGAAAAGAAAAATGTGAAAGTACCAGATGGGATAATTAGTCCATGAATAACAAGAAATATAAAGAATACCATAGTATGGACAAATATATTGACGAGGGAAACAATCCACTATCAAGATACTTTTCCTTTTTATGCTTTACTAATCTTATTTACATTGTAACCTAAGTCTAACTCTACTTACCCAAGTGATAGCTGTTAACCGAGTGAATTCATCTGGAGAAGCTGCCCTTTGCACCAGTATTTCAGCCATGCGACCATAATCTACAGACTTCAAGAGTAGCACTGCTTGAGTCAGAAAATTACAAATGAACAAAATATTTAATTTTCAAGAGCAATACTTCGGTAAATGATACCTAAAAATGGTGCAACTTTTTTTTACTAAAATGTTGAGGTGTCAATCACATAATTTCCATAAAGATGTGTGGAAAAGAAAGTAATGGCATAAGAAACTTAAAAACAAGCACCCACGGAACAATCTAGCAGTCTAAGATCAAAATATTAGTAAAAAATTTACTGGGGAGTTCTTAATCTCTTGGAGAAATTCCGAAAGTGCTGAATCAGCTTGTTGCCGTATTTCATGACTAGAATCACTTAACATATTAAACAAACCTGAAAGTTATCAACAGCTAGTTAATCAAAATAACATCTCATAGGGAAGTAGCAAATTAGTTTAAAAGACCATATTTTTATTACCATCAAGAAAATCAGGTAGGAAACCCAACATGTCAATATCTGGAACACTATCCAGTACTGTTATCCATCCAACCAAAAACTGACGGACAAAGGGATTCAGGACATTCATGCGCTCTCTCAACAATGGTATAAATTCTTCAATACTGAAGACAAAGAAACAAAATAACATTAAGAATAGTTCCCAAGAAAACTTGATCAAGACCTGTAAATATGACAAGATTCATGGAGTGAAATTGGATGGCAATAAAGCACACCTGAACTGGTCACTTTCAGTAACAATATCCTGTTTCACATGGTAAAATAGAATAGAAATAAATCCCAAATTTCACATAATTACCGATATGCCAAATTTAGATCAGGGAGCAATTATTAACCTTCACTAGCCTGTCTAAAAGGTGAGCAGCACTCTGCACATTGGCAGCTGAATCAGCCGATAGCTTGCATAGAGCATCAAATATCTGATTAAAGAATATGATGAAATCTCCTCGAACAACCTGTACAGCATATGAAAGCATATACTGTCCACCATTAGTCAATAAAGCAATAAATGGCGATAAAATAAAAATCATAAGCTAACCAATCTCCTTTCACCTTTGCAATGTTATATAGAGCTTCACAAGCATAATAACGAACCCTGCTATCTTGGTCAGAAAAAGAATTAAGCACTGGCGGCACAATTTGCTGGCAGATTTCACCAAAAGCAAATTAATCACTAAATTATATACAAAAGAAGAAGAGAGAAACAAGTTAATAAAGTAAACGACTGAGAAACAAACTGACACTTCTATGAATACAGGTAAAAAGTAATCATCCGACAATTTTTTTAAAAAAATTTACTCTCCATTCTACTTGAGAAAGATTTGAAACCCTTCTAACTGCATGAAATAGCCTAGAGTCTCAATTCTTTTAAGTGTTACCAATTCTACACATGTTTCTAACAATGTCACAGTAAACATTATTCTATACGTGTTTCTAACAAGATTTAAACATGTTAACAGAGTATTCAAATGCAAACTAATCCTTACCTCAAGATGTTGGGAGGCTTCAGAAGTCAACCCAACAGTAGCAGCAGCTAAACCTATCAATCCTCCCTACATAAACACAACACCAAACTTCTACAAAACTGAGCCGAATTTTAAATTAAATAGGTTCAAAATCACATAAAAAATCAAAATTCTGAAAAATTAGTCATCATGCACAAACCTTACGGTGATTGGCTTGTGGCGAGTATGTAAACTCTGTGGTCAACAAACTGATCACCGCTGATATCTTCTCATAATCTCCCGACGCCGCCAGCTGTTTCACAATTCCTTCAACCTAAACATAGAATTATTACATTTACGATAAAAAAAGTTTAAGCAACTCACTATCCAAAAATCAAATTCCAAGGGAATTCACAAAAAAAGATGAACCTCAAGCGCCGCATTCTTCCGTTTCTCGTATAGCTTATCGGAGAGATTGCGTAGAACGGAGGCGGGAATCACAGAGAGCGCGTCAGCCATAACAGAAGTATTTTCAACAAAGAAAAACGAGGAAAAACAACAACGAAGAATAAACTTAAAAAAGAAATCCTTCGATTCAATTAAATTCGTTCTCTGATATTTTCAAATTCGAATCTGAACATAGCTTTTTTTTTTACTCATTTAATCTTCCACCCCCCCCCCCCCGGGTTCCCCGTTTTGGTCTTTTTTTATGGGATGGAGAAATGAAAAATTGAGGGAAGCCAGATCTGACGAAATTAAGCATAGACGAAGCGCTTTTTTTCGTAAAAAGTCGATAGGATTTTCTTTTTCTTTTCAGTTATGAAAATAATAATAATTATTATAATAAGGGTAAATTCACTATTTAGTCATTATACTATAAGATCAATTTAATGGTGATCATTGAATAAAAATTATCAATTAAATCACTAATTAAATTATCATTTTAGTTACTAAATTATAAGATCAATTTTCACATGGTTTTAAATTAGTCACATAAAAAACTTCTAAAATGTTTTCAAATAATTCAATTAACGAAAGCCTTCAGATAATATCAATTGAGTCCAATTATTAAATCAAAGGAAGGATAAACTGATTAAATTCCTGAAATTTAAGATAGAGGACCAAATTTCAAGTGTAGGAAGAATATACAGTGACCGAGCGCAGAGTTATACCAAAGATAAAAGAGTGCTGGAACGGACGTGACTAAGGAAATGACCAAATTACTCTTCTTTAATGCAAGCAAAACCACGATTGATGATCCGGCGCCAAGCCTGTGATAGGTTAGTTTAAGATGGGCGGTCTTAAGGGTATACTCGGAATTTCTGAAATTAAACAGTTAATTCACTTCTAACTAAATTCATTTATAAATACCTTTTTTGTAAAGTAACAACTATACTAAAAGTAGTTTACTAAGAACGAAGTTAAATGTTTGAATTTTATTGTGTGAATTAAGAAAATTAAGTTGAGATTTTATAATAAATATTAATAAAATTTGATTCAATTTAATCGAATACCGAACAAAAAATATCTGTAGAGTCCGGCTCAACTAGATCGTCACTCGGCGGGATACAAATAATATAGAGGTAAAGGCAATTTCAAATGTGTTGGCTAACGCTTTTGAGCTTTCCTACGTCTAGACTGTGTCTTCTGCCATTTCTTTTTCGGAACCAGCTTGCTCTTTGGTTTCAACTTCAACTCCGGCGAAAACTTGTAGTTCGGATCCCTCATTCGTGCTTGAATATCCTTGAAAAATTCCATGTTCAATTTCTTAGGTCCTCCTTTCCGGAGCTCCTCATATTCCGGCCCCGAAACTATGTTCTCGAACGCTCCTATTAATATGTCGATATCACTCATCACTTCCCAAACATTCGTATATCGCCCATCCGGTCCTTTCTTGAGTTTCTTCAATGCATTCTCTACCGCTAGCTTCCTTGCTTTCTTACCTGGCGATAGCTCCTCGGGTTCTTTTTCGGATTTCAGTAGCTCTGAGATCGTCCTGTACTTCGGTTTTTCCTCAAACTCGAAAAGTTTGTCTATGTACTTATCGCTAGCTTCATTAGGGTAAGGTTCTGTAGGAATGTCATCATCGTCATCACCTTCACTACCAGTCCATAACGTCTTTTCCTCATCGCTTCCAGACCAAACACTCCTTAACTCATCACTGTCATCAGCATCGATTAGCTCCGAACGATCTTTGGCCTGCTGTCTGGCTTTCCGTATCTCTCTTTCCAGGCAGTTCCGGTCGGTTTTGGAATCATTTTCGGGATCACTGTCATCTTCGCTGCCAGTCCATAGGGTCTCATTTTCATCAATCTCTTTCTGCCAGACCTTCCTGAAATCTTCATCTCCTGGCGTTTTGCTCCCAAAGAGATCGTAATGTTTACGCCCTTCACGAGCATACGATCGCAATACTGGCAAACATTCAACAATGTAGGGATGAGCATTCAATCCATTCGGTTTGTTTAATTTCAAAGTTTCGAAAATCAATTATACCAGCTTAGGCGTTTTAAACAATTAGTCGACGCTGAAGTTATGGATTAAGGGTCATAGTGCTTCACAATAATTATATCTAAAAATCAATTAAAAAATCAACAAAAACCATATAATTCGAACCTATCATATTTCAACATTACAAGAGAAACACAATATGAACAACATCTAAAATGGGTCAACTGAAAAATTCTCAAGCTGCTTCTTTCTGTCAGTACTTTTTACAAACACATTGACTACATTCCATATTCGTACCTAGTTCAAAACAATTAACTAGACCAAAGACTATTGACTTCTTCACATGCATTCAAGATATAAATTCAAGAAACGGGTATAAAAGAAATTGATATTTTACACTCAAGTTAATATAAATACTTTCTCTTAGTACTTTTTACAAACACATTGACTACGTTCCAATCTGCACCTAGTTCATCCCGACCAGCTTCATGGCTTCTTCACATACATTCAAGAGATAAAATCAAGAAGAAATGGGTATCAAGAAAATGCATTTTATACGTAAGAGAGCAGGAATCTTACCTTGAAAATTCGGATCAAACCCGCCATTAAGATGATTTTTAGAAGAGCTTAGCAGTGGGTTCAGAAGAGATTCTGACCTGCAAACGAAATGGGTTTTTCCCTTCTTATTTTGCATTTAAATTTCAAGCATCGAATAGAAATATTATATATGGAAAGAGGTATGGATTTTGACCTTGAAAATGGTTGTGGTGGCAGCCAACAGGGTTTCGGCGTTCTAAGGAACAAGAGGCGGGAACAAAGCCTGCGAGCCATTGTTCTCAACAAGGCGGCAAAACTAAAGCAAACTAAAACACAATAATTAACAATCCAATAGTATGGATAATTATACATACATGGATCTTTTAACATGTTAAAATATACTCATGTCATTAAATTATGTTCAAATAATTATTTTGATAATTGAATTTTTAAAATTTATAAAATAATTATTGTAATGTTATATTAAATTGTATTATTTTAATACATTTAAGGATTATTTTGTAACATTTCCATAAAATTTAATAATAAATTTATAACAATTCGATAAATTTAATATCATTTTATAATCATTCGGAAAATATAACGTCCATCTTATAACTATTAAAAGTTCAATTACCAAAACAATCAAATGAGCATAGTTCGATGACCTCTAGCGAATAAATTTCAGTGTCACTTCTTCCATTGTTTTCGTAAATATCAAGTATATACGGATACATATATCTGATACTCACACCTAAACTCGCTTTAACTTCATTACCTAATCACGATCTGTAATCTAAAGAACATCTTCAAGTCGTTTGTAAAGTAGCACCTTTCATGATTGAAATGATTTTCCATGCAAGTTTTTCATCAGCCACTGACCAACAGCAACAAAAGAAAACCGATTCCGAATCGTTCTGAAAACTAGCGGATAATCTATGAGGGCAATTGTCCAAAGAACAAACGGATACACGGAATGATTCTATTTGAAGTTGTTCCCCCAAATCTAGGATATTACCTTCAGAAAGTTCATTTGATAGTATCGTTGATAATCGAGTAATCAAAGTGCATTTGTCAAGATCGCAAAGCAAATCGAAAGCAGATGGGATGTCTTCGGTTCTGGTTGCATGCATCGGGAAACAATAAGCAAACTGAATCTCATGCTTTTTTTCTCCGAATGTATTCAGAAGCTCACCCTGGTGTATAATCTTTGCCTTTTTGCCTTTTCCTACTACTAAGATACTTCGGAAACTCTATCATCACTTACGGAAAGCCTTGAAACTGCTTTCGGTTCGTTTGAATCCAAATAAGATTTATCTACTGAACTACATGTTGAGAACTTGAAGTTTGGATTCAAGCAACTCCGGATAAAGGTACCTGATGCGTCTGCTTTCACATAGTGTGTCGAAGGAACAGTCACCGTTTCATTGTTTGACGGACAATAACATGGGATCCCAAGTTCAGATTGAATCCTTTCTTTAAGAGTGGCCATTTTCGGTTTCTCACCATGTACAAGAATAGCGTGTTTTGGTGAGAGAAATTTGACAAGATCCATAATCCCTTTGGCATCGGTATGAGGACTGAAAGATAGCTGGTGAATCTGCAATACAAATTATAATGTGAATTAAAATGCATATATATGATGACCTTTTTTAAATGCAGAAATGAAAAAACCTGGAAAAAGATGAAACGAAAAGTTGAAGCATGAAAATGGGATAATTTTATGTTTAAGGAAAGGGGCATCAACCTGGCATCGCACATCGATTCGGGTGTCCTTGTCCAAATCAATTTTGGTTGGTTTACCGGACATTAACTTATGGCCTATCGTTCCGGCCACACAATACCTATAAAAGGAGAAAAATTAGAGCAATATAAATTCACACTGTTGAAAGTATTGTTAAAAATGGTTTTCAAGTTTGGCAATCAACTTTGAAAATTTAGTTTTTAAAGTTTGGTAAATTTTTCTTTGAAAATGATTTTTAAAGTTTGGTAAATGTTTCTTTGAAAAATAGTTTTTCAAAGTTTGGTAGATGTTTGTTGAAAAATGATAATGGGATAATCATAATTAATCCCTAGGCTTTAGGGTATTTACAAGATTAAGTCCTTAAGTTTCAACTATAAATACCCTAGCTCATTTAGCTTCAAAACTATCCTAAATCATTTTCTTTCTCCTAATACTAGAGAGCTTTCTTGTGAGTAGTGAGTGTTTTGTAAACACCTGAAAATTTTCTCTCTTAGTAAAAGATCTGCAGTAGTCCAGAGACGTAAGCACAATTGGCTGAACTCCGTTATCAATTTCGGGTATTATTTTTTCGCTTTTATTTCGCATTCTAACTAATCTGGTTATAGCAAAATTACTTGTACTCGGTTTATTTTATAACTGGTATCAGAGCTTTTGGTTGTGAATTTTATCATTTTTTGCGAGGTTACTATTCATTACTATTCACGTGAATAGTAAAATTTTTGTTGGCGATACGAGCTTGTCGAATGAGGTGTTCTAATACACGGTGGTTCGCAAGAATTGTCAGAAACGATCCAAACGAAACCAGATTCGAGTGAGAGCGATTGCTGCAGACGAAGGAAATGTGAAAATTGAAAAGTTCGATGGTGCGAACTTTGACTTTTGGAAGATTTCAGATTGAAGATTTTATGTACCAGAAAAATCTATATCAATCTCTCTCAGGAAAACAACCAGAGGGCATGAAGAATGAAGACTTTGCTCTTCTCGACAGACAAGCCCTCGGAGTTATCCGACTGACGTTATCCCGCAATGTTGCTTTCAACATAGCAAAGGAAAAGACCACGGCGGGTCTTATGGCCGCTCTCTCCAGTATGTATGAGAAACCATCAGCCTCAAACAAAGTGCACTTGATGAGGCGATTATTCAATTTGCGGATAACGGAAGGCGCATCGATGGCACAACACTTAAATGAACTCAACACAATCCCTTATCGATGATGAAACCTTGAAGATCGTCGGAAAAGGAGACGTCCGACTAAAGTTGTCAAACCAGACCACCTGGACGCTGAAAGGAGTGAGACATATTCTTAGCCTCAAAAGAAATCTGATTTCTGTTGGACAACTTGATGGAGAAGGATATAGCACAACCTTTTCAGGCTGTGAATGGAAGATTACCAAAGGAGCACTTGTCATTGCTCGTGGTAAGAAAACTACTACTCTCTATGTAACCTCAAATTTAGAGAATATCATTACAGCCGCAGATGCTGATGGAAAATCAAACATATGGCAGCAAAGGCTTGGTCACATGAGCGAGAAAGGGATGAAGACACTTTTGTCAAAAGGAAAGCTGTCGGATCTAAAGAATCTAGATGTCGAACTATGCGAGGATTGCATCTTTGGCAAATAAAAGAAAGTCAGCTTTGCAAAGATTGGTAAGACACCCAAGGCTGAAAAGTTAGAGTTTGTTCATATTGATGTATGGGGACCATCTCCAGTTCCATATCTTGCAGTCTCACTATATTATGTCACCTTCATCGATGATTCTACAAGGAATGTGGGTTTATTTTCTGAAGAAGGAAATCAGAAGTCTTTGATACCTTCAGAAAATGGAATGCCATAGTGAAAAATGAAACTGGTCTTAAAGTCAAGCGGTTGAGGTCTGACAATGGAGGAGAATACAGAAATCGTAGATTCAGAGATTTCTGCGCAAAACAATAGGATCAAGATGGAGACAACAGTTCCCATGACACCGCAGCAAAATGGCGTAGCAGAGCGCATGAACAGAAATCTGAATAAACGTGCCAGAAGCATGAGGATACATGCCGGATTGCCCAAACTTCTATAGGTTGAAGCTATCAACATTGCAGCTTACTTGATCAACCGTGGGCCCTCGGTTCCTTTGAATGGCAGTATACCAGAGGAAGTTTGGAGCAAGAAAGAAATAAACCTTTCACACTTAAGAGTGTTTGGTTGTATTTCTTATGTACACATAAACTCTGCTGAAAGAAGTAAACTTAATGCCAAATCCAACAAATGTGTCTTTTTTGGTTATGGTGGTGATGAGTTCGGCTACCGGTTTTGGGACTATGAAAATCGGAAGATCATCAGAAACAGAGATGTCATTTTCAATGAGAATGTGATGTACAAAGACATGTCAACTGTAGAATCAAGCAGCTCCAATACCAAAGCTGAAACAAAGGAATTTGCTGAGTTCGAGGAGATTTCTGGAAATGATGTTCAGATCAGTCCTGAAGCAGTTCAAGAAGAATCAGGCACACCGGAACTAAGACGTTCCTCCAGAATTCCTAAACCAACCCAACGTTATTCTCCTTCTTTGCAATACTTGTTGCTGACTGATAATGGTGAACCAGAGTGCTATGATGAAGCAATGCAGGTGGAGGATTCAGTCAAGTGAGAGTCTTCCATGAAAGATGAGATAGACTCGCTTATGTCAAATCAGACGTGGGAATTAGCTGAATTACCACTAAGCAAGAAAACGCTCCACAACAAGTGTATTTACAGGATCAAGGAAGAGCACTATGGGAGAAAACGCTACAAAGCAAGATTGGTTGTCAAAGGTTTTCAGTAAAAGGAAAGTATTGACTACAATGAAATTTTCTCTCCAGTTGTAAAAACTGTCTACAATCAGATTGGTGTTGAAAATTGTAACTGTAGAAAATTTACATCTTGAGCAGTTAGATGTAAAGACAGCTTTCCTTCATGGTGATTTGAAGGAAGAAATCTATATGAGACAGCCAGAAGGCTTCATAGAGACAGGCAAGAAAAACCTGGTATGCAGGTTGAAGAAGAGCTTGTATGGTTTAAAACAAACTCCTAGACAGTGGTACAAGAAGTTCGATAGGTTCATGAGTAGCAATGATTTTACCAGATGCCAAGCAGATCATTTTTGCTACATCAAGAGATTCGACAATAGCTTCATTATTTTATTGTTGTACGTTGATAATATGCTCATTGCAGGCTCAGACATGCAAGAGGTTATAAACTTGAAGCAAAAATTGTCGAAGCAGTTTGCTATGAAGGATCTGGGCGCTGCAAAGCAGATTCTTGGGATGAGGATTAAGAGAGACACAAAGCGGGGACTTTGATGTTATCACAGGCTGAGTACATCAACAAAGTACTCCAGGTTCACATGCAAGATGCTAAACCAGTAAGTACACCTTTAGGAGTTCATTTTAGACTCTCCAAAGAATGGTCACCAAAGGCGGAGGAAGAACGTGCACACATGGTGAAGGTGCCGTATGCCTCGGCAATTGGAAGTCTAATGTATGCCATGGTTTGTACCAGACCAGATATTGCTCATGCAGTGGGAGCTGTTAGCAGGTACATGAATAATCCAGGCAAGGTACACTGGGAAGCAGTCATATGGATCCTCAGATATCTGCGCGGTACTACAAACAAAGCACTTTGTTTCAAAGGTGGAGATACGATACTGACAGGCTATGTAGATGCTGACTTAGCTGGAAATGTTGACATCAGAAGGAGAACTACAGGGTATGTCTATACTCTAGGAGATACTGTAGTGAGTTGGGTTTCTCAACTATAGAAGATAGTTGCTCTCTCCACAACTGAAGCAGAATATGTCGTTGTTACGAAAGCCAGCAAGGAGATGGTTTGGGTCCAAAGTTTCTTGGAAGAGTTAGACAAGAAACAAGAAAACAATGTCTTGTATTGGGACAGTCAAAGTGCTATCCATCTAGCAAAGAATCCATCTTTTCATTCCAGAACGAAGCATATAATTGCGATATCATATGTTCGGTCTTCTGGAAGATGGGATTTTGAAACTTGAAAAGATTAGTGGAGCTCAAAATCTGGCAGACATGTTGACAAAGACGGTAACCACGGACAAACTGAAGTTGTGTTCAGCTTCAGTTGGCATGCTAGACTAATAAGACCAGAAATCCTATTGCATTGATCGATGTGTGAAGACAGATTAAAATCAGTCTTCAAGTGGGAGATTGTTAAAAGTATTGTTAAAAATGATTTTCAAGTTTGGCAACCAACTTTGAAAAATTGGTTTCCAAAGTTTGGTAAATGTTTCTTTGAAAATGGTTTTCAAAGTTTGGTAAATGTTTCTTTGAAAAATAGTTTTTCAAAGTTTGGTAGATATTTGTTGAAAAATAATAATAGGATAATCACAATTAATCCCTAGGCTTTAGAGTATTTACAAGATTAAGTCCTTAAGTTTCAACTATAAATACCATAGCTCATTTAGCTTCAAAACTATCCCAAATCATTTTCTTTCTCCCAATACTAGAGAGCTTTCTTGTGAGTAGTGAGTGTTTTGTAAACACCTGTAAATTTTCTCTCTTAATAAAAGATCTGCAGTAGTCCAGAGACGTAAGCACAATTGGCTGAACTCCGTTATCAATTTCGGGTATTATTTTTCCGCTTTTATTTCGCATTCTCACTAATCTGGTTATAGGGAAATTATTTGTACTCGATTTATTTCGTAACACACACACAACATAATAGACGTAAGATTATTATTCTCATTAAATGGGTTTCTGTGCTTGAATGTGATATCCAAACTTTTAAAATTGACACGATAGTTTTTTCTTTTTTTCCCCCTTATGTTCCATGTTATATAAGTACCAATACTAGCATTATGATGTAAGCTTGATGATGTACAAGAAAGCCATACCCTGGCAATGTCACGAGATTGTTTTCCGAAGGCGCCCATTGCATAAAAACCTCAAGTGAAAATCCGCCAACAATCATACCAGGTGTAGCAAAGAGAACGCAAGGTCCAGGAGCATTTATCAAAGAACGGTCAAAATTCCGAACTGCAACAAAAGAGTAGCAGATGAAATACTAGTATAAAAATATATTTTTTCCTTCCTAAATGTTAACCCTATTATATTCATGCAAGTCGCTATACCACTTCATTTTTCGGTGATAATTTATAACCTTAAAACAACAGTAAAAAGAAAAATGTGTTACAAAGATATAGCTCATGCAACTTTTAATTTCCCTGCTTTATGCAATTCTTCTATACCAAAGGGAACTAATTTTTAACACCTTCAAGTTCTCACATTCTGCCTCTTCAATTCAAGAGTTTATTTACATGCATGAATAAATTACATACATATATAGGAAATTTTAGGTTATTTAAGCTTTAGGACATTAAAAGGTATATTAAGCCTTTGGTGTTTATGTTAGGGTTTGGCTGTAGTTTCCTATTAGTACTTCCTATTTCAACATCATTAATTTCTCAAAAGAAGAAACTTGGCAATGGCAGGAACAAGGAAATAAGTAAACTGGTATGACTCATTAATCATTATCTCAGCAAGATTTGTACCACTTTTAAATTCAAATGCATTATGTGTGGCATATGTCTCCTTGATCTTCTGGCTCGTCCAGTTAATAAGCATTTTTATAATACATATTGGCTTGGATGGTCAAACCTGAAACGCGATAAATCCGACTCATCAGCAGAAATTCGTTATCTATCAATTAACTTAAATACAGCTATGAATGAAGACATTGACAAGAACATATAGATTCCACTTCCAATAATAAGACAATAAAAAAGAAGAAAAAGAAAAACCAATGAGGCAAAAAGTTAAACACAAAAGATGGATCAAACCTGCTGAGAAGTAGATAGGAACATTTAGATTCATGCGTTCCCAGTAATCTTCCAATAGTATACATAGTTCCTATGATATAATCATACGGAACTAGATATTAATCAATGGATCAAGTTATACAGCATGAAAGCATCTACGACTAGTCAACAACATAATTGTTAAAGGTGACAATGACCAATAACTGTAAGCAGCTTGAATTTGAAATACTATTTTAAAATATATGCAGATTGGTTAAGATTTATTGACTCCTTTATAAATCAACAGAAGTGTTAAAAGGAAAATTGATTCATTTCAATGAGGTGAATTTTTTTAACCTGTTTCCCTCATGATTAGTGGTCATCTGAAAAGTATGGAACTTTGAACAACTATTGGTTAACATGCCCTCAATAATCCATACTAGTTTAAACTTTTGCTACCAACTAAATCATTTTAATACCAAAAAAATCATAGCTACCCAATATATATAAGATCGTCATATATACCTGAGCTCTTCCTAGTGCAAATGTTGGAATAAGCACCTTTCCTCCAGCAGCAACACAATTATGAACCTGAAAAGTACCACAACCACCCCACCCCCAAAATAAATAGAACAAAAAGGAAGAAAATCAATCCCGTAGAGTGTAACTTTAAAATAAAAAGCACAAACCTGAACCAAATATATTAATCCATGAAAGTTCGAAGTACTAAAATAAGGAACGTCCGCAGAGAACATGCTCAGGTCAAATGAAATCATCATACTTCCAACATTTCTCTCTCCAGTAGATAAAAAATGAAGTTTCTAGAATAAAGTTAACCATGTACTTCGGAGACCAACTACTAACCTCCAGTTCAAAATTCTTCAGTTAAGCTCATTCTTCAAGTAATTATGCATCTAAGACTAAGAGCATTCAATTATCTAGTTATTATCCTCTGTGCTTAGGAGACTAATACCACTGTATTCACAACTGTAATAACTTCCTGTCCCCACCCGGTGTTCCCTCAAAAAGGAACAATTAAAATAAAATAAGAAAATACTATCAAAATAACATAGAGGATAACACAGAGAAACCAACTGCATGTGGAACAGATACTCTAACTTTAGCGATCTAAAGAGCAAGTAAACAGTCACAATGTGCAAGAGCAAATTGTGAAAGTAGTATATACATACAGCTTTAAGGAACTCCCTCTCTCGCCCATATCTTGAATCACGTATGGTTGTTGCGTAAGTTGACCTGTTATGGGAAAAATATTAGGAAAATTTTTATCAAGCACTACTAACCAAACTTTACTTATTAATGAAACCAAAGAACAATATTATATTTGTATACTCTGTTATAAGAAGGTCCAACTGTAGTCTATCAATTTGAGCTGCCCCGAGATGTCTATCTGGCGTCATATTATAGTCTCCTGTGTACACCATAGCAGCATCTCCCACCTTTGCATAAAACATTGCTGCCCCAATGACCTTGCAACGAACAAAGAAAATTAACCACTTGGATAGAAATTATTGAAAGCATTCTCAGTAAAGAATGGTGAAGAACTTTAAAAAAGGAGGAAGACTTAGAAAGAAAATTAATATTTTAGAAATGAAAAGAACTATTACTGCTGTGCAATTCATATTTCAGCCTAATAGGCTACAATATAGCTAAAGCACTCAATGATTTAAACTCAAACAGTGGTCCAACATTATTCAATCAATTCCTCGATAGCCCTCTTAAGACCTAAAAGTTAGGTAGCTCTATCAGAAAAGATAAAATTTAGCAGACATACTTGGCAAATCTGCAATGATAAATGTGCATCGTTCTTATACCAATGGATTAAAATGTATAGGCACTACAAATATAAAAAAAGGCTAATAAAAATCATGCTTTAGAACTGAATTTAAAATGCTTACATGTCCTGCATAGTAGGCACGGATTTGAAGACCTTTATCAACCTGCACAGTCTGCTTCAAATCCACAGGTATAACTGAAATAAGGAGTCGAATCAGAATAAAAAATAAAAATGACAACTTCAGACAGTACAATTCAAGCAAGTAATTAAAACCAGTAGGCTGGTCTTGCATAAAAATATACTTGTGAATATGTAAGGAAACTAGATCATATATATTAAGGAAATCTTTACAACAATCCTATTCCACTAGCTAGTCAATAAAAGTTTCATGATTTAAATTTTAAATAGTGAAACTTAAAGTTTGTTTCAAATCAAATGATACATTTGATAAAGTTCAAGTTGACCACTTTTCAATTCTACTATTAGAGCATTTAAATACAGGAAGCTAATAATGATCAGAGATCAATAATGTGATGCTACTCAAGGTGAACCCCAATGTCCAAAAAAATAAAACTGATCTAATGCTTGAGTGCATTTTCTCAATAGTTAATCTTTAGTTGCAGCTTGATACCAGGTACAGCATGCGATATCATCTTGATATATCCTTGATAAAATGATTTCCAGGAAGATTGAAGAACATAAAATTATGAATGGGGTTCCATGTCCACTTTAGATCATAAGAAATATTTAGCCTGAACCATACTCCAAAAATAGCAGGGTTGTGCAAATGATTCCTATCACAGCTAATGACACAACTTTGAAAACATATTGGAAGGAAAGTGGCACTCTTAGACAATTCTGAATTGCTACCTGATGAACCAGATAGACAAGTCAACCCATCATATGCACATAAAACTACTCATAATAACAATACTTTTTTAAGCACTGAAGCATCTGAAAAAAATGTTCAAATAGAGATCCAAGTACCCTTTTTCATGCATTCTGCAATATGGTCCGCAGTAAATTGTTCGTCCTCAACCCTTCTGTCCATATTCTTTCTGTAGTCCTCCAACATCAAAGGGGCCAATGCTTTTGTCGGATACTGCCAATACCAGAATTAACATCAAAAAAGTAAAACCAAAAGAATAAAAACAGTCATACCCCAAGTGGGACATTTTATCAAATACATAGAGGAAGAGAAGTTACAGTCATGTAAATTGGACCCTTGTACCCGCAAACTTCAGTGAAATAAGGAAGCGCTCCAATATGATCCAAGTGACTGCAAAAAAAAAAGTTTGTCAAAAATTCAAACCAATAAATTATATCGACTGAAAGAACCAAAGAAAAAGTAAATCAATTGAGTGAATGAAAGAATACAAGTGAGTAACAATGACACAAGTGAGAGCATTATCAAAATCTCCGGTTTTTGAAATGAGAGAGAAATTTGGGTAGCGACGAGAATCAGTGTATCCCATGTGCATCCCACAGTCGAACATGATTCTCTTGCCATTTATCGACACCACCACGCAGCTTTTCCCAACTTCTTGGCCTGCCCCTGAAAATTAAAATCGTCGATTATTTTGTGAAAAGACTAAAAAAAATCTTGGAAATTCATGAAATGGGGAAATAAACCGTGGGTAGTGTTTAGAAGTTACCAAGGACGAGGCAGTCGATCGCCATGATCGGAGCTAATCGAGTTCAACTTCAAAGAATTGAGAACTACTTGGTTGGCGCGCTTCCCCGTGATTATCAATGTATTTATTTAAGGTATAAACTATGGTTTTAGTCCCTCTACTATGTTTAAATTACTATTAAATCTTTTTGTGTGTTTTCTTTTTTATTTATCTCTTATTGTTCTCTTTATGATTTGGTTGAGTTGGATTTATGGGTTTTGTTGGTTGTGATTTTTACATTGGATTTTTGGGATCATGGATGTTGGTTCAAGTTGATAAAGAATCAATTATGTGTGAAGAATTTTATTGTTTATGATTTATGATTAAAGTTTAAATTGTTCTAAATTTCTTTTAAAGTTTAAGATTTAAAAAAAAAATCGAAATTGGTTAATCGTGTTATAAGGTTATGTTAAATGGGATAATTAAGTGGGGTGATGATAGGGTTATGCCAAATCTCAATTAAGTTGTGATAAAATTACAATTTAAGTGTTGTGTTGTTGAGAGAGGAATTTGATTATAGTTGTGTTTTGAGGTTAATAATGACTATTGAAATTTAATTTTATAATGGTAGACTAGATGAAATTAATATAATTTATAATTATAAATAATTATATTTGTTTGATTATACAAAATTAATATTAAATGAAGAAAATGTATAAATATTAAAAAATTAATTTATTATCCTACAATTAAAAAATAAGTTTAAATGTACATGAAATTTTTAAATTTTTTATTAGTTCATCATTTTGATCCACGTTGATTATTAAATTTAGTCTTTTTTATTAATTGGCGTTGTATATATTATCACAATATTCTCAAATAATTATATTCTATAAATTTATTAATTTTAAGATGAAATCATTTATATAAAAACCGTATGTTTTAATTCCCTTCAATCAAATCAATAAGATTTTTGATTGATTAAGGGCGTCGCCCTCATTCTTAGAACCCATTGAGGGGGGCTCGGCCCAGGAAAGGGAGAGTGGTCGAGTGGTCAAAAGCGACAGACTATAAATCTGTTGAAGTTTTCTAAGTAGGTTCGAATCTTCCCTCTCCCACTTGTTTGTTGTAGACTTTAGAGAAGAGAAATGAGGCATTCGTCAACATAGGAAAGCCCACCGAGCGAAGCTCTTTCTTTTTTAGGGTGTGTCGTGAAGTAAAATTGTATCGTATGTTAGTTAGAGAGGTTGGTGAACTACTACGATTTATGGATTCCCCATCTATATCCAATCCAAACGAGAATAGAAGTGAGTCGCTTTCGACTTGGCTTTTAGTTGTAGTCCTTTAGCTTATGTAATGGTCGAACTTTTTACATGCACGCGCCTGCCAAAATGCCTCGTTGATTCTAGACGAAGCCAAGTCGATACATATGATAGGCGAAGGAAAACCCCCCATTTAATAGCGCCTAGGGAACATAAGTTTGATTGAGGATTAGAGAGGAGGGATGGAAGAAAAGACTCGAAATGGATTTAGGAGTCTTTGTGTGAGTCGTATGCAGTGAGAGTCGCATGTACGATAACGATGGGGTTCGCGTCTATACGTGTAATGTGGTGGTTGGGCCTACCCACCCTATTTGTTCCATGATCTATGGGTCGACTGGAGCTACCCACTTCGATCAATTAACCAAGATTTTGACTGGATATGAAATCACTGGTGCTCGATCTAGTGGTATTTTTATGGGGATTCTTTTTATCGCTGTAGGATTCCTATTCAAGATCACTACAGTTTCTTTTCGGGCGGCTGTAGGACTGACAACCGCTTATAGGTGGTAGGGTATGGTGGGTGGTACCGATAAGATTTCAGCCAATCTTCATTATCGCATGTGGGTCGTGCTTAGAGTGCGTGAAACTCATCACTACCTCATAAGGGCATTAAGACAATAGCATGTTAAACAAAAGTGTCGCTTTCTCTGTAGTGTTGTCACACAACTGCCCAAAGCTACTCACTCTGTAATATTATCAAACAAGATAAGCACGTCGCCCGCCTACTGGTCGGGCGAATCGAAGTTCTCTTCCGGTCAACTGTCCACCTTGTCAAGTGCAAAAAACACAGTAGAATCATGTAACACACACTACTGGTGTGCTTCTTGCCCACGAGGAAAGAAAAAAGAGCGATAATGTTTAGTTTAAATTTAACTGTTTGTAGTATGGGAGCAGATTGCCCAAAAAATCCCTTGAAACAATGAAAAAAAGATATCTCGGTAACGAAAATTATAGGGGTCTGTATTGGTGAGATCTAACGGTGAATAACTGCCTAAAAGAAAAACTGCCTGAAAGTCCGAGGACCTTTAGTACCGTACCCTTCCCCCAAACCAACAGCCTTCGCACCAAGCAAGACCACCCTTGTCCCTTTTCTTTATCCATTATGCCTTTTCCTTTGCTTTATTCTAATAGATTCTAAGGCAAAGTAAAAGTAAGTAAGTGATTTGTATGCCTACTTGACGAAAGGAAACGAACTTTGGTTCGTTTTCGGGGTTATGGATTGGATTTAGTCACAACATAATCAAAAGAAGGGAGTGCCGCTTTGGTTACCGAAGAACGCTTCCAAAGTCGACCCTCTCGAGTTTTCGGCTGTTTTCTAGATTGAAATAGCCTTTTCTCGCCCTAGCAAACGAAAGAATTCACTATCAAACATCTTTTCCTATTGAAGTACCAAAGGTGCGCTCCGCCGATGACTAAGTAAGAAATGGGTTTGACTTAAATTAAAGTGATGAGGTTGCAAAGAGGGAAGTAGGGATCCTATTGACTAAAGGTTGGTTTTTCGGTTTCCTTTAGAATGAAAGTAGATATGAAGCCCTTGCTACTTACTTTGTTTGATTCAAAAGGCTACCCCGACTAGTCGTATGGGGTGGGGCTTGTGGAAAGCTACCTCGGATATGAGAAACTCTTAAAAAATAGGCAGAGCCCAATATTTGACAAAGATCTTCCTATCAATAGATAGGAATTAGTGTTCGATATAGGTTATATTGAGCATCTGCTATTTCTCTCTCTATTTTTTAGAGAAAAAAGATATTTCGTTCATCAATCTTTTGTCTATTTATCATTGATTCTATATATGAATCAAGTCGAAAGACTTCATTTTTGGGTTCCCAAAGTCCCGAATGGATTTGATCATTTCCGCCAACGAAATGAACGTGAATCCTGTTCCGATCTGGAAGTTATTACAAAGAGAATAAAATGTTGTTCTCTTGCCCTTTGTCTTTTCTCACTTTGCTAATCTTCCCCTCTAAAGCGGGCCGGGAGATCGCGGGCGTGGGAGAAAGAAACCTAAGAGAATACGTTCTTATCCGTTGTCCTTATTTTTTTAGTGCAACATAGGAAAACACCCTCTTTTTGTCATCTCTACAGCTTTTTTTTTTATCTTATTTCACTAATTATACTTTTAATTTTTCTAAATTACTCTCTGAAGTTTTGAATTATTCATGTTTTGGTCTCTTTGAATTATTTTATTATTATTTCGGTATTACATAATATTTTTTACTATTATTTAATATAAAAATTATCTAAAATATAAAATAAAAGTAAATGGTGATCGTCCATTGTTCGCCGGCATTGAAACCATCGTTGACGACTGTAGATGGTGGCCATTCGGTCCCAAATTTCATCGATCATTTTGTCTCGACCCCTGAGTTCAAATGTGACCTCCATTTTATCGGAACATGCTCCAAATCTGATAAAAAAAAAAAGAAAATCGAAACTTTGATCGGCGTCAACCATCTTAAATGGTGGTTGTTCCGTCCCAGATTTCATGGGTCACTTCTCCTCAACCCTTGAGTTCAAATCTAACCTCCATTTTATCGGAACATGCTCCAAAGTCAAAGATAAAAGATTGAAAATGAGGAAACCAAAATATTTCTATATATATTCATGGGTTTTGAGACATTTTCAGATGAAAAATCCACAAGATTTGGACTCAGTGTGTCGAAGTGAGTCTCTAGGTACAATTTCAGATCATCCGATTATTAGTTTCGAAGGCCGATACTGGTCGACGAAGACTAAAATGAGAGGTGGAGATGTTGCAAATGATGAAGAAGTGAAAATATTATTTTATTATTTATTTTAAATTATTTTTATATTTTAATAAAAAAAATACCACATCATAAAATAATAATAATTATTATAGTGACCAAAATAGAAACAATTCAAAAGTTAATAAATAAATTAAAAAAATTGAAAATAAAGTGATTGAAATAAGAGAAAGAGTAATATTCAGTGAGAAATGGTGTAGTTTACTCTTATTTAATATGAAAAATTAAGATTTTTTTAAATAATTAACACTCTCTTTCTCACACTGCCACTGCAACCAAATTTAAACCCACAATTTAGAGAGAGAAAGCTAATGCGAAATTATTATTTTATCTCACTCAAAGCTCAAACTTTCTATAAATATCTCAAAACCTATTCAAACATCTGGTTTCAACTGATTTTGGAACCCTAACATTCATATCCAACTTCAAGTTATAGACGTGAAGCAAACTTCTCTCCCTGAATAGTTTTTTTTTGGTTGCATTTTGTGCTTGCACTGCTGAGAGGAAGTGTTTGAATCGGAGATGGAAGAGATTGCCGGCGAAACGGCGGAGATAAGAAGCAATGCGAGGAGCGAGTCGCCGATGAAGGCGAGTGTACCTCCGCCTTTGACGGTCTCTGCGTCGTTTAGGGAGAGTGGAGGGAAAAGTTCGTCGAGGAGGAGAGCTGTTAGACCTAGCTTCGAGGCGGATAATGATTTCATCCCGTTTCTTCACGGGTCGGATCCGGTGAAGCTGGAGATTACCCGATTGGAGAATGAAGTTAGAGGTGATGAATGTGGATGGATCTAGTTGTTTTTCGCCTTGATTCGGTTCAATTCAACTGCTCTTTTGGTTAAAAATTAACTTTATTGTTTTTTTGATGTAATTTCTTTGCCTTTTGGATTGGATTGCAGACAAAGATAGAGAATTGGGAGAAGCACAAGCGGAAATTAAGGCATTAAGGATGTCTGAAAAGCTAAGAGAAAAGGCTGTCGAAGAGGTTTATTTTTTAATTTTTTGAAAAAAAATTACTGGATTTTATTTTTTTTGGAAGTAATTAAACTTAATTGATTGGTGGAACTCTTTAGCAATAGTTGTAATTAAAGTAATAAATATTTAGAAAATTTTTGGAATTTTCTAATTTCGAGGATTGAAGTCTGATCTTAGTAGAAGGTCCATTTACCTTCTTTTTAAGTGATGGATGTTTGAGTTTTGGGGTAAATTTAAGAAATCTTTGAAATTTATAAATTATAATAATGTTATAAAAATAAGAAATTGATGGAAGATGGTCTGAATTTTGGTGTGTATAGTTAGGGGAGATCAAAACTCAATCAAAATCAACTTAATCGATCTAACTATGCTAATTCTTGTAACATGTTTTGTGATTAAGATGGAACTGACTCTTTTTATTTTTCTTTTGTACCATAGATCACTGATGAGCTCTCGAAAATGGCGGAGAATCTTAAATTGACAGACTCTCTTCTTGAAAGCAAGGTATTGGTTCAAATCCTTCTCAACCCTTTCTAATTTTTATGTTGTCGTGTTTAGAAAGAAATTTAGTTCATAAACATGTTTTACAGAACCTTGAGATCAAGAAAATAAATGACGAGAAGAAGGCATCCATGGCTGCTCAGTTTGCAGCTGAGGCCACTTTGCGGAGGGTTCATGCTGCTCAAAAGGATGATGATATGCCTCCGATTGAAGCAATTCTTGCACCCTTGGAGGCTGAGCTGAAACTGGCTCGGCAAGAGGTATTTCATATGTTGTTTGAACTGTTGCTTCTGTCTCACAAAGAAAATATAGAATGCCTTCTAGACTTATATGTGATAAATTATTTTCTTACCAGTTAGTTTTTTTTTTTTTGGTGCAGATTGCAAAGCTTCAAGATGATAACAAAGCCCTTGACCGTCTAACTAAATCAAAAGAAGCAGCTTTACTTGAAGCAGAAAGAACTGTCCAGGTTGCATTGGCCAAAGCGTCCATGGTGGATGATCTCCAAAACAAAAACCAGGAGTTGATGAAGCAGATAGAAATTTGCCAGGTATTCCTATCATCCTTGGTGTTTCCTTTTCCCAGATCCATATTTTTTTGGCTTAGTCCGTTAACTATATAATGAAGAAAGTCACATGTTTACTACTTGTCTGTGGCAGGAAGAAAACAAAATTTTGGACAAAATGCATCGCCGAAAGGTTGCAGAGGTCGAAAAGCTTACACAAACAGTAAGGGAGCTGGAAGAGGCTGTTCTTGCTGGTGGTGCTGCTGCAAATGCAGTTCGAGATTACCAACGGAAAGTTCAGGAAATTAATGTAATGCCTAAATTTTACCTGTTCTAGACTTCTAGTTTGCCTGATTTCCTTTTTGTTGATATAATCCTAAAGCTTTTCTCAAAATGAATGATTGTTTTGTGTTTCTTAGGAGGAACGAAAAACACTTGATCGAGAGCTGGCACGTGCGAAAGTAACTGCTAATAGAGTCGCCAAAGTTGTAGCAAACGAGTGGAAAGATGCTAATGACAAAGTGATGCCCGTAAAACAATGGCTTGAAGAGCGAAGATTCTTGCAGGTTTTTGTAGACAGTTTCTCCCATTGAATAAAACTACAGGCATTTGCTTTAATAGTTCTTATTCATTGTGGACTTTATTTCTTCCAGGGAGAAATGCAGCAACTTCGTGACAAGCTTGTTATAACCGAGCGAGCTGCAAAATCTGAAGCACAATTGAAAGTATAATCTGATTGTGATAATTACCATTCTGTTATCTATTTTGATTCTGTTTGTTTCGAAATAAGAGCTTTTCTCTGATTTTCCAGGAGAAATATCAACTGCGGCTTAAAGTTCTAGAAGAAAACTTGAGAGGATCTTCAAACAGTGTTAGTATCAATACCTCAGATGGAAGAAGCATGAGTAATGGACGATCTAGGCGTCAGTCTCTTGGTGGAGCTGATAACTACTTAAAACTTACATCCAATGGATCTTTACCCAAGAGATCACCAAGCATTCAATTGAGATCTTCTTTGTCTTCTAGTACAGTGTCCAAGCATGCTAAAGGAACACCCAAGTCATTTGACGGAGGCACGAGATCAATAGATAGGGCTAAAGTGCTTTTAAATGGAACCGGATCAAATGCATCATTAAACCAGCCTTCTGAGGGAACCAAGGAGGGTGAGGCCCTGAATGATGAAAAAACAGACGACTTCCAGCCAGTAGACACCGAGGATAATGTTCCAGGAGTATTGTATGATTTGCTGCAGAAAGAGGTCGTAGCTTTGAGGAAAGCTGGTCATGAGAAAGATCAAAGCCTTAAAGATAAGGAAGATGCGATTGAGGTAGATACATGTGTTCTCTCAAGTCAATACCATTTTAATTTATTGTTCAGGATAAATGCTCTAGTAATCCTTGTATTTTTCAGATACTTGCTAAGAAGGTGGAAACATTGACTAAGGCAATGGAAGCTGAGGCTAAAAGGATGAGAAGAGAAGTAGCTGCTATGGAGAAAGAGGTTGCTGCCATGGGGTGGAGAAAGAACACGATAACAGGGCCAAGCGGTTCGGTAACTCCAAGGGATCGGCTGCTCAGCTGCTTGGTGGAAGGTACTTCCATCTTTTATTTAGTTGTTTCTATTTAATATTCTTTATTTTCCTCAAATTATTTAAGTTAAAAATTAGTCTCCTTAGTTTGTTGCATTTGTCCTTTATAAATTACAAAATTATCAGCCATGGTTCATCTTATATTACTCCAACTCTTCATTCTTGAAGTACTCATGCCCAACATTCATGTCTAGCACATATCCGGACATATGTTCGAGGATATGACCCTCCAAGGATGTACAAATCCTGTCTTAGTAAAGATACAGGACTCATAACCTACTTGGCCCATACCCATTCTGTTGTTTACGACCAAATGTCCATGCATATCAATAATTTGTCCTTTGTAAAAAAGATGAGCAACTCTGCATACGGTTTAGAGTAATTCGAATGAGCGCTGCAAGAATTATATAGATTGGAGATTCTTATACTCTTCTGGATAGGGTACTTCAATACACCGATGAACTTCCGATTTGGTTACATGTTGATGTTTGGATTCATTTATATTTTTACTTCAAGTCTTTACTCACTCGGGTAGTTGGGTGCAAGTGTTGGTCTATGTGTATATATCCAACACATGTCCACACGGATATTTGAAGCAAAATGAAGAGTCGGAACAACATAGCTTCAAGCTGTAGTGACCTATTCCAATGGATCCACCTTTTATTCCTTTTCAATTTTCAGCTAATCGATCTTCAATGACTTGTGGAGTCCTATATAAACGTCACCACTCTAGTTCAGTATTCATTGATTACATAGGTATATATTTTGAATTTTGATACTCAATATAACTAAGCAGATTCTCTTATTTATGCAGAAATGTGTCCCGAAGTGGGTTAACACGTAGCACTCAATAACGACAAATTTTACTCGAAGCATCAACGGCAAGTACATTTGCAAACTTGCATAAGTTTCATTTTTCTTTTTTATAATTTTCTTACTCTATAACTTGCATGCAATTGAACCTATGTTCTTAGAAATCGACAAAGAGAGGAAATCCGGGAAAAAAGAGGGCAAAATTCGGAGGAAGAAATCAAATTGGTGTGCTTCTAACATAGACTGCTTGTTCCTCTGCCTAGAGATTAACCGAAAACAAGAAGAGATAAAAAGGAACTATTAACTATGGGTGGGGCTAACATTATGATAGGTTTTCATGGGTGGCCAGTGATTGTGTTTCTGTATAGGTAGGGTTTCTATTCTTTCGGATTTTTCATCGGTCATTGTCGAATCATCCCTGGGTTTCATTTTCCCAGTTCATATTTGTAATATGCAATTACAGTGTTTGTTAATATTCTTGTATTGAGATCTGTTGGTTGTGTTATTTGAATCATATTAGCAATCGAGCCGAGTTTAATAAAAATCGAACTAAACACGATAATCCGAATCAAATTTCAATGTTCTCCCTGCTATTGCCGAAGCGGGCCTTAAAAGATTGCCATTGGAAAGCTATTTCAATGTATTGAATGTTGGAAGGATCAAAAGGACCTTCCATTCTATAAATGGAGTTTATCACCGCTCTTCTTGGAATCACACTCTTTGATGGATCTGGTGAAGTCCCGTAGCTCAAACATGAAGAAAACCCCTACAACAATGACAAATCGTTCTTTCACAAAAAAAAAAAAAAAAAAACAAAAGACTAGAAATTCGACTATAAATGAAGATGGTCAATATCGTACCAATGATTTAGAGTGTAATGAGCTGAACCTGAACATACACGAACTCAAGCTCGAAGGACTCCATACTCGGTTTGAGCTTGATTGAAAAATCGATTTATAAATTCAAGTTCAGCCCAATATATAATTACATTATTCAAACTTGATTAAATTTGTTCATCGGTTTTTGTATTAAAGTTTGAGCTTGAGTTCAATTAAGTTGTCTGCATTTAATAACATATAGCAAGGATATAAATGTAATTTAAAAATATAAATATACATTAAAATCTAAAGGTTTGATTAGATTTGCGAGCCATTTGAGTCGAGTATTATAGTGTTTGAATTTGGTCCAACTGTCCAAGTGATAATTTAGGTTCGGCTCGAAAATTACCGAGTTGACTTTAGAGAAAAATTAAATCAAATTTTAATAACTTAAAAATATAGGTGTCTCATTTACATTCCTAAGTCCTAACGATGAATGCATTGTTTTATCTTGATATTGACATGGGCAGAGCCGCGTGGTAAGTAGAGGTGTCAAATGATTATCCAAAAATTTAAAATTATTTTTTATAAGTTTTTTATATATAAATTTATATGGAAATTTGCCATGTTTTGGAGTCATGTACCTTTCCGACCGGAATCGTTTCTACCGGTATTAACGGAAACAAACCAAATATAAGATCGGAATTATAAATACCGGCGGCGATACCGATTACCATGGTGTAAATAGATCAAAGTAACAACAACAACAAAAGCTGATGGTAAACCAGACCTTGAATATAAGAAGTTCAACTTGTTGTTCATCTACAAGTGCATGAACGATAAGAGCTTCTTCTCTAGCAGATTGACTGTAAACCTCGAGCATTGCGATCTTTCCATTGTACCCATTCTCTTATTTCGTCGTCATATCTGATTCTTCTTCTTGCGGCACAAGAAATGTTGAAAGCTCTTTGATGGCTCCAGAGTTTCAAAGCTTTAATGGCAGGGAAACGGCGGGTTTCGTGTATGGGGAGGTGAGTCCTCAAAAAATGGGTTACACGAATGGAGTAGATGCTTGAAATTTGGATCAATATGGCATCATGTCAATTGTCACATACCTTTTCTTCTCCGTCAACCTCTAAAGCTCCTGCGATGATGAATTGGAACGACGCGAGCCAACAGCGGGTGTGGTTGATCTTTCCATCGATGGTAAGATCATCACCGGGAAATCCAAATGCATGTGGATGGGGATGGTACCTAATTATGAAAATAAGTACATAAATGCTCCATTAAATACTATATTACAGATAAATATCAAAATTAAGTATGAAAATGTTATATTTACCTTTTTTAAAGGTAAATCTTATTTTCTATTTCCTCTCTCACTTTCTCTTTCATAGTTTTTTTTTTATAGTTTTCTTCTCTCTTTTTAGTTTGTTTTTCCTCTTGAGTTCTCTCTCTCCAGAAAGGGCAAAAATCTAAAGATCCATTTACACCCCAAAATTATGAACCCTCCTTCAAAGGACATCTCGGTCTGCAGCTAATGTCGAGCGTGGTTGAACGGGACACAAAGCCGTTTAATCCCGGGAGTGATTCCAATCTCATGGTTAATACCAATGCAGCCTTTCACCCACGGGACTGCATTGTTTCTGAGGCACATATCCCCATGAATTATGCTCGGGATAGTTGGATTGGCGAGAGAGAGAAGTTTTTCAACATGTTACCGGCCGCCGCCCCAATTACGGCATTCTTCCGGAAACTTCGTCAGCTCAGTCATTGTAAAATTTGCAGCCGCCACCTGATTCTTCAACAAGAGATGAGATGGTGGCAAGTAGAGTCGAAGAGGTACCAGCTAATAAGGACGGTGTTCAACCAAAGAAAAGGCAGGATGGGGCTTCAGCTAAGATGCCGAAGGCCAATAAGCCTAGGAAGCCAAAGGAAAACGTCGATTCTACAGTTCAACGTGTGAAGCCAGCAAAGAAGAATATTGACATTCAAATAAATGGTTCGACATGGATGTTTCACGCATTCCGATTCCGGTTTGCTCGGGCACCGGAACCCCTCAGCAATGTTATCGATGGGGCTGTGGTGGTTGGCAATCCGCTTGTTGTACCACAAACGTAACCATGTATCCTTTGCCAATGAGCACCAAAAGGCGTGGTGCGAGAATAGCTGGCCGGAAATGAGTCAGGGGGCATTCAAGAAGGTCCTCGAGAAACTCGCGGTTGAAAATTATAACTTCAGTAATCCAATTGATTTGTGAGTCATTGGGCGAGACATGGTACAAACAAGTTTGTCACTATCAGGTAGGTTTAAAATCGACGGTAATGATAATCCAACTCCATCACTTATTGTCTGCCTCACCTGTATATATATATTCTTTTCAACTTTCTACTTTTCCATTTATGCTCCTGCTTTAGCAGCATCCCTTTATTATTGAACTCGATTTAACAAATATTTTTATCATTTTAATATTTTTTTTTTATTTTTTTTAAAAATAACCTTGAATGGGATAGCTTTAGGGGAAATTCACTTAAATGTATACGTTGAGTAGTTAATGGTATTGACTATATAGAAGTAAAACGAACATAAAATATGAGCAAAAATAGTAAAATAACATTTCTTAGAAAAACTAAATTAAATTTTAAATTTGAACATAATAAAAAAAGACCAAAATTATAATTAAATCATTTTAGACATACAACTTGACTAATTAAGACAAACAAAACAAAACATATATAGTCTGCATTGATTACTGTATAATCTATTGACTCAACACAGATGAACCAATCAATACATAGAAAAGTTAAAGAGTATGAAAGCAATTGGAAAATATATGGAAAAATTGTGCTATGCAAGCTATTCGAGTTGGATTTTATATATATATATATATATAATCCCACACGTTATAATTGTTCCAAATTAAACTGCTAGAAACATATGAAATCTGGGATTTCATGAAGATTATAAAATGGAACATGATGAATGAGTGCAGATGAATTCTTGTCATTATTTTCTTCACTCATCTTTGTATTTTCATCAAAAACCACCCATTCCTCTGTTATTACCGTCTTCAAACCTCCCTTTACTTCTTTGTATTCAACAACGGCGTCGCCCTTGTACGCTGTCATATGCGAGGCTTGACTTGAAGCAACATATCGAGCAAATATTGCCATTTATGAAGTGTGGAAATATTTACAAAGAAAACTCCACTGCTAATGTCTTAAAATAATTATTTATAAAATTATTAATATATATATATATATATATATGGTATGTACATCTTGAATTTGATGTTTTAAAAGAACATACAATATATACACATACATTTATAATTTTATCCAATTTAATTTGTGTGATTAAATATTCTCTATGTTAGATTCAAGGTGTCATTGAGTTAATAAATAACAAGATGAAATAACTTGATTGATAATATATTATTGTTTGGAAAGTAAATTAAATAATTTTCAGTTTCAAGGATCAAATTAGAATTTAAACCATTTGAAGATTGACGTCGCAATTATCCCCTTAAACTTATTTGCACGCATGTTTTAGGTTTGTTCTTTGTAACAAATGAGAAAAAAGTTTAATTAAAAATTAAGGGTGAACTGCACCCTTACTCATCCAATTATTAGTAGTTTTTTATTTTAGTCACCCTAATTGGAATATAATATTGACATACACATCGAAGCTATTGGACAAACTTTCACATATGGAAAGCATTATTATCAGGTATATTGCCCATGAAAAGTAGAAATTTCACAGCGGCCTTAAATTGATTTTTATTTTTTATTTTTGTGAGAGCAAAGCATGCAATTTTTTCATTTAATCAAGGAGCTAAAAGAACTTAACTTGAAATATTATTTTTTGGAAATTAAGGGATATATGATGAAGTTGTGCATACCCCAAAGAAGAAAAAGCAAAGGAAAAGTGGGAGATTTTCAACCAAACTACAGCGGCGGTTTGTAAAAAGCAATAAAGGAAAGAGTAAACAAGAAAAGAAAAAGAAAAAGCCCCCGTCAATTCATGTGTACATACAGACCTAGTAAAGTAACAAAGAAACAAAGAGAAAATGGTTAAATTTTGAATTTTTCTAACAATAATATATATAATTGTCGATTGATTTATTGAGATGAGATATTAATTTTTTTAATTAAGGTTAAAAGTTTGAATTATAGAATTGTGAATAGAGAAAATTGGGTTGCAATGGTTACCTTATGATAAATCTTTACAATACACGATCTGAATTAATCGATCAATAAATTAAATATCGATGGTTATATAAAATATGAAGAACACACGTCTCTTTTATTTAAATATAAATTTATTTTTGTTTTTGAGAAATACAACACATGTATATGCACATTTGGTCGATCATTATTTTTATTCTATACAATATATATATATAAATTATAAAATAGTTGTGTATATCTACGTAGGTAGTTGAGTGTATAAATATTATAGTATGAGCCTGGGAGGGACCGTTGAAGGTGTTTCACTGTGCAAGCGTCGATTCTCCTTCTTTTGATGCTCCCTTTTTCTTCTGCTTTATCCTTCTCTTTCATTTTAATACAGACTCAAGCTTTTCTCTCTGCAATCTGTTCCATGAGCTTCACTCCTTTCTATTTCTCTCCTCAATTCCCATCTCTCGTAGCTCCTTTCTCCAACTGCATTTCTTCAATTCCAGAATCTTGCTTTTATTTATGGTTGAATCCATGTTTGTTTTCGTTTTCAGGAAAGTGAAGTTGTTGTGAGGGGGCGGAGCTGGGAGCAGCCGGGACTCGACGGCGGTGGAATAGACATGGACTTGCGCCGGCAGCCACATGCGGTGGAGTTTGACGTCGATTTCTTCTGCCCCTTCGAACATCCCATGGAACCTCCGGATGAAGATCGACCTGTGAAATGCCCAATGTCTGCTGCTGCTGCTTCTTCTTCCATCGATGTACGTTACAATATTCTTATTTCTTTTCGCATTTTCTACAAAAGTTAATACATCAATTAAAGTTCACTAAACTAACGAATGAATGACCTAATTTGCCAAGTATGTATTTGTTTTTCAAGTATGGAAAGGGACGTGAAGGAAGAGTTGCCGCAGAGAGTTCACGTAAGAGATCAGAGCAGCCAACGACGGTGAACAACGGAATTGTGGGGATGGCAATGACGGAGGAGCCACCGATAAGAGCTGTACGTAAAAGGCATCACACACTCACCCGCGACAACCACATAAAGACGGAGCCTTTTATTACAAAGCCTTCTCTTCCTCCAATTCCACCTCACACTCTTACCACCTCTCAAATGCTTAATAGATTCGACCAAGTTTGAATCATTTGAGAAGAAACATCTTCTTTCTCCAAACTCGTAATGTTTTAGTTTCAAATGCATATGGAGAACTGAGAAAATCGAAAATTTTACCGGGAAAATCCTTGAAATGAAAATGTAGCCCAGGCTTCTAATGTAGTAGTAGCATGTTGAGAGCCATTATGTATATTTGAAGCTGAAAATATGAGATTTAGGTTTCTCTTTAAAAATAATAAAACATCTTAAAATTTTAGCCGTATAAAATGAACTTATTAATCAATAAAAAATATAAATAAAATAATTAAATTATATAAAGATTTTACTCTCTTTTTTTTATCATTTTCTCTAACACTCTTATAACCTATCATCACTGCTCATATTCGTATTTAAATAAAAATATCAAATACGAATATTTTAAAAAAACTCGAAATAAGCAATAAATAGGGTTACCCAACGAATATGGAGCAACATACACAATAAAACAAAGAGAATGAAGTGAAAGGGGTTATTTTCCTCGATTCTCAACAGACAAGAGGGGACCATTCTTCTACTAAAATCCACTTTCATATTGCACTTGTGTCAAACCATGCACCAAATCTAATCTTAATTCCCCTTTTTTGTTTTATCTTAATGATATATTAATAAATATTACTCCAATTTTTCCACTTACATATAATCTAGAGGGGCGAATAAAAATTTCAAATTCCTATATATTTTAAATATTTTCTATTGAAAATATGTTTTCACCCCTCTAAGTTCTCCTATGCTTAAGATCTTATAAGTTTGCCCCTTCAAACACAAAATCTTGCATTCTTCCCTACTTATAGAGATGATTCTCATATTTTACATACCCTTGCTTCATTGCACCGATGCTAATTTCTTGTACTAATAGAATTCTTCTAATAAATATTTTTTCCTTCTTTTTTGTCACTCCCTTTTCGTATTAATGATATCTATCTCTTAAAAATTATAAGAAGACACAATATATTCTGATTTTAAGGTGATCGAATAATGAGAATTATAAATCCAAATTATTTTTTCGAATTTTGAATTAAAATTTAACAAGTTTTAAAGAGATTTTAAGGAAACCTAAATTAATAGAGTGATAGGAAACGATGAGACAAATTTGAGGAGACAATGAGACAAATTTGTCAATATTTAAAATGGTTGAAAAAGACAACATAGAATTTTGAGATCGATGTGATTAGAATGAAATTATAAAAGTTCTAAAATTGAGGGAGGGAAAGCATAGTTTATCAAAGAATATTTTCTATTGTAGTGTGTAGATACATATCCGGATTCGGATAACATACCTAATACCTTTATATTCCATTCTCATGATATAATAATATATCCTCTGGTTCTGCCAGCTTCTCTACAATATCAAATCCGCATTCATTTATTTGCATAATATATAATAAATATTTAATAAAAAAGAATGAATATAGTTTTAAAATTGAAAAATAAATATAAAAGGGATTTCGGTGCCCAAGGTAAAATATGTCAGCAAATGCAGCATGTGGGGACAAAAAGCAGTACCACTTTATCCTACAATATAACGCTACCTGTTTTCAAAAAGAAAGGAATATAACAGAGAAATGTAGCTTTCACCTATGGGGGAGGGAGAGTGAATAATTATGTTACTTCGACTCCGGTATGAATATCAGATACTAAATATGTGTCCGACAATGAAATGCTTAAAGAGAGATGTAGTTTTCACCTTTCGACTCGGGTGTGAGTATCGGATATGGGGTATGTGCTGGAGAAGGGTACGATGCCGACAATATATAACCGAGTAAAGTTACCACTTGATTCATTGATTCTTACCAAAACCAAAACATTCATCCATACCTAAATCCAACTTATTTTGTAGAAGACACCTCCAAATCGGACAAAATGAACTCAAAGCATAGTATCGAGGTTCACATCAACTTATGAGGTATTATCCGTTATCGACCTATTGGGCCTCAAAGGATTTGATCAACTCCGGGATTCATAGCTCCTCTGTAGGACCATGACATCCCCATTTGAACGGAAGCTCACTATCCTACATGATACACCATTAGTAACTTCAGAGCCAACTTTGATACTGATTGTTACGATCCCCCCTAACCAAGGGGAATTATTTGTTATCGACCTATTAGGTCTCACAGGATTTGACCAACTCTGGTATTGTCTGCTTCAGTTCTTCGAGCCTAGCGGTTTTGCTCCCAAAAGGCAATTCAAAGGCTTAATATGGTATGGACACTTGAATACTAACACCAACTCTAATAAGTAGTTGATGCCTAGAATTCATGGTTCCTCTCCGGACTATGGCACATAATATAACCACAGTTGTTCAGTCATCAGGGGAATGTTTTAACACTAGCATCTAAAGGCTAGGGGTGAGCATTTATCGTTTTAAACCAATTTAACCGATCAGATTTAGTTAATTTGATCAAAAAGCAAAACAGTTTTGGGCTATAAAATCTAAAAATACAAATAGCTAATAAGCTGAGGTATTTATCACAAGATCACCATAGATTCTATAACTAAATTTCCTCCAGAATCATGACACATCAAATTTGATACTATATATAGCTTGATGAGCTCTCCATTGAGGCAAGCTCAATAATATTTCTTTATGTAACTTGCATGAATAGTCTTCCCATGCAGTAATAGCACCAGAAAAAGTGGCTGGATCAAAATAACATTGATCCGCACTATGAAAAACGGACTCCACCAGTTTAGTATCCTTCAGAAAAACAGAATTCACCTGAGTAATCTTCTCGGATTGTGGTTGTGATAATCGAACAGCCTTGTCGCATTGAACTTCGTTTGTCAAAGCTTGAGATTTGCACAATTTCCAAAAGTAAAACTGTGCCACCTGTTCAACATCAGAGATTTACTCTGGTTATCAGAGGATGATCGGAATATCCGCTGAAACAGCTTTAGGAATTGCAATGAGTAGACTCAGTTAAACTCGTGGATAAATTCAAATATGACAGTATCTTATTATTCTATTGCACCAAATCAACAGATTTTTTGAAACTGAAATACTGATAGTAAGAAAACCTGAAGTGAATGCAGAATGTTGACAAATTTATGGTCAATCAATTGATCTCGCCTTGCTAATTGCATCGGTTCCATAAGGAGTTCAGACAAATCCGCAGTAAAGTTCAAATCTTGGGAATAATATACATCAAATCCAAGAGCATGTAATCTTCCCAAGCGAATATCGAATTCGATGTATTGATTAGAAGCTTGGTTAGGTGAAAACCAGTACATATTATCCGATGCTGGCAAAGGTAGGAATGACCATGGCACATTGTTAGACTTGTGCATTAGGTTTTCTTCAAGTAGTGAAATAAGTTTAGCATCCTCGTCATGGGAACTATCACGGCTGAACCATAAAGTAAGTGTCAGCCGTTCTCCGTCGGCTACCTGTCAAATAATGTAATATGTAAACACCAAAATGGCCAACGTAAAGGGCCCATTTTATTTGCAGCATATTTAACAACTTTTTTTTTCCAGAATACTCTCTTACCGCTTACATTACGGGATTGAGTTTTATAAAATTGTCAAGCCATGAAAGAAAATGGAAGTTAGCATAAGTCAAATTTTCACTAAGAACGTGACTCAGCTAAGACACAGTATTGGCACTATCTTCTTAGCTCAAATCCATGCTTAAAATCCTGCTTTAAAATCGATATCAAGCCCAACACTAAGCAGCTAAACTTGGTTTTCCCAATTGAACCCTAATAGCATTCATTTTCCTTTGATAGACGAATTACATAGCATATTATATATATATTACGAGAGAGAGAGAGAGAGAGAGAGAGAGAGAGAGAGAGTACCTCATCCACAGAATGAGTGTTGCGGCTGTCAGCTGTATAAATCACGACATCCTGATATATATTAACGCAAAGAGTATCAATCAAATGTCAGAGTGAACATGCTTTCACTAGCTAATAAAATAGACATGGCTGCTTCTTCACCGAGATGAGGAAACTCACCGCAGAAGAGGTTTCCAAATACCTTACATTTCATTAAGTAAAGATCATCTTAGCAACCAATGGATTCTACACAAGCAAAGTAAGAACTCCGAAATTTGGCACCCCAACCACATTATGTTACCTTCCTCATGACTAACAACTCAAAGGCATTTTCTACCCCTTATTTAATTCCTATAAGTAACACTTGGAGAAGTACTTCTCGAAATTAGACCTCAATAATTCTAGATTGTTACTCCGAATATTCATTTTTCTTGAAGCACCCGACACATCTCCAGACATGGATATGGAGCTACACCCTCCAGACAATGGAAAACATTTAAAGATTTAAGCATACCCCTGCTTAAATATGATTGTACATTACCGTGCAAGAAATACTAAGAGAAGACATATCTTAAGAGGACATTTAACAGCTGCACTTACTCCAACCATAGGAGCAATCGTTTTCGGTTCCCCATCTTGGAAATGAAACAGTCCGCCTTCAAAATCCTTCCCATAACTATTCAAATAACACACTGCCTTCAAACAAAAACGAAACACCCTAAGCAGGAATTTATTGACAAAAGACTAATTGCAAAAGACATTACTATTTCCCAGAAAAAGCTGTGAACACACACCGTAAAGTCGCGTTGCTTGAGATAAGGCCTGTTATCATCACTATGCCAACCTATACTTGCTCCTCTGCTCCAACTATACAATACGCATGATGTATGGTAATCATAACATTAATCAAAGGTAAAATGAATAAAGAAGCATATGCACATCGACTTATCACTTTTCTTTAAGTATCTATGTCCGACACTTGGACATGGTTATGTATATGTGGGGGTAAAACTCTACAAATTCGAAGATACCCATGTCAGACACATATCCATATGCAACACTCTCATCCGAGTTTGTGTAACAATCCTATATTACTATTAACTTCCTTAAAAACTTAGGCCAAAATTGGTACCTAATGAGGCCAGTGAACTCAGTAACAAGCTCATATTCACAACCAAAGAACTCCTCCACCTTCTCTTTCAACCTATCTGTACATCAAATTTTTAAAACTAATAATTAAAAATAATGAAATTATTCATTAAAAAGAAACAGAAGCAACAAAGGATTAACGAAGAACCTCTGATGGGAAGAAAAGGGGTGATTAGATGAGCAGAGTTAGTGGCGATGAGATGAGAAAGCGTTGTTGAAAACACGTTTGGCCTGTATCCAATCGTACTGCAGCTCTTGTGTATGAACTCCAATTCCTGTTTTATTAAGCTTTCAATTATTTTTCCTGTTAAATTCATTCATAATTTGACGATGAAATAGATTATAAGTGGGATCGAAAGTTTGGATCTAACCTTGCATTCATCTTCTGTAAGGAAACTGTGTAGAATCAACCTGGGATGCTCCATCTCCGTCTCAGTCATTTGTTTCACCACTAAACCATTAAATTGTTTGAAAATTTTGGGCAATGGCTCAATATTCATGGTTGGGTCAGATTATCGATCCGAAATTTTTTGTTTTCCAGGCCCGACAATCTATCTCATCAAGACAATGAGAAAGATTAAATCGTTAAAAATTTAGTAAAGACAGTTTAATTGGAGGTAGCAGGGTGAGTTTGGTTAACGTAATATAAGATTAAAGCCTGAAATAAGAATACCGGCATAAATAAAATTACTTAGAATGTTGTATTTTGTGTTTGGTTCGTTTAGCAAGGATATAATATTACAGTGTCTAGTTAAAAGAATAAAAAATTATTAAAATGTATATTTTACCAAATTGTCTTTATTATATGTTTGTTTTTTTAACAAGTTAAATTCTACTATAATATTACTATAAATAATTTATATATTTTATTTAAAAATTTTAAATTCATAAAATTTATATAATTATTTTTACAAAATTAAAAAGATAAATATGTTTAATGAAATGGTAAAATTTTATTTTAACCCCTGAACTTCATATAAATTTCTAATTATATATTTTTTGTAAATATAAAATAGTTTAAAGATAAATTTATAATTTAACCTACGTAGAATTTTTTTTTATTCAACAACAGAAGAAGAATATTTTTGAAAAAAAAATTTAAGGGCATTTTAGTCTAAAAAGCCAGGAATGTAACAATACCTAAGGGAATGAGTATTTATATTCCTGGTAATATACTCCTAAAATATCACTGTTGGGAATAACTTATTACCGGGGCTGGGAATGTTTGCCAACTAAAAGGGGGAATGACATTCCATTCTCCTGATAATGTGAGATACCCTAAACCAAACACCCCCTTAATATCTCCGTCCTTGTTTCTCAACATCTATTTTCTTCTTTTAAAATACTTAAATTATTTTAAAATTGAGACTTTACTTAAAAGAAACGAAAGCATCCTCCGATATTTCATATCCCATAGTCATGTATTAAGTAAAAATTTAATTATTATTTTGTATGGTATTCATAACATATAATAGTATGCTATTCAAAATTGCTAAGATTAAGCAGCACCAACTGAAAAAGCTTTTGTTTCATCAGATCAGGTATCAGAGTGGCCTGCAGTTTAAAATAGCTAAACCATATCCAATGAACCTTGTAAACCAGATATCATCATTAATGAGACGACCAAAGAACAAAAGAAAAAGAACAAGGTGTATTGTTGCGAGAAACTAACAAGTTCCTCGTTCCCCTAATCTTACTGGTTTCAAATGTTAAAAATGTCTTGAATCAATATCTGGCCACTCTTTTACAGTTGCATTCGATTTCCACACATCTCAGTTCGCAGCCCCCTCTCTCTCAACTGCACTAGCAGGTTTCCTCGACACAATTGTTAGTTGTTGTTAAAAGTTTCAAAGTTTGGCAACCAACTTTGGAAAATATTTTTTCAAAGTTTGGTAAATGTTTCTTTGAAAAAATATTTTTCAAAGTTTGGTAAAATTTTGGTAGATGTTTGTTGAAAATAGGAATGCGTAAATTCACTTTAGTCATTGCACTTTAGGGTATTTTCAAAGATTAGTCCCTAAGTTTCTACTATAAATACCCTTACCCATTTAGCTTCAAAATCATCCCAAAACATTTCTTTCTTCCTATACTAGAGAGCTTTTTTGTGAGTAGTGAGTGTTTTGTAAACACCTGTAAATTTTCTCTCTTAGTAAAAGATCTGCAGCAGCCCGGAGACGTAAGCACAATTGGCTGAACTCCGTTATCAATTTTTGAGTATTATTTTTCCGCTTTTATTTCGCATTCTCACTAATCTGGTTATAGGGAAATTACTTGTACTTGGTTTATTTCCCAACAACTGGTAATCAGAGCTTTTGGTTGTGAATTTTGTCAAATTTTCTACGAGGTTACTATTCATTACTATTCATGTGAATAGTGAATTTCGTGAATAGTGAAATTCGGTCAGCGATACGAGTTTGTCGACGGTGGTGTTCTAATACACGGTGATTCGCAAGAATTGTCAGAAACGATCCAAACGAAGCCAGATTCGAGTGGGAGCGATGGCTGCAGACGAAGGGAAGGTGAAAATTGAAAAGTTCGATGGTGCAGACTTTGGCTTTTGGAAGATGCAGATTGAAGATTTTTTGTACCAGAAAAATCTATATCAACCTCTCTCAGGAAAGCAACCAGAGGGCATGAAGGATGAAGATTGGCTCTTCTCGACAGACAAGCCCTCGGAGTTATCCGACTGACGTTATCCCGCAATGTTGCTTTTAACATAGCAAAGGAAAAGACCACGGCGGGTCTTATGGCGGCTCTCTCCAGTATGTACGAGAAGCCATCGGCCTCAAACAAAGTTCATTTGATGAGGCGATTATTCAATTTGCGGATGACGGAAGGGGCATCGGTGGCACAACACCTAAATGAACTCAACACAATCACAACCAGTTGAGTTCAGTGGAAATTGAGTTCGATGATGAAGTTCGAGCTTTAATTCTCTTATCATCTCTACCAGACAGTTGGAATGCTACTGTTACAGCAGTCAGCAGTTCGTCGGGAAACAGCAAATTAAAATTCGACGATGTTCGGGATCTGGTATTGAGTGAAGAAATTCGACGAAGAGAATCGGGTGAAGCATCAACCTCCTCAGCCTTGCACACGGAGTCTAGAGGGAGAACTTCAGAAAGAAATTCAGATCGTGGCAGATCAAAATCCAGAAGGGGCAAATCAAGAACAGGAAATAAAGATTTTACCTGTTATAATTGCGGCAAGAAGGGTCACTTCAAAAGAGATTGCCGAGCACTGAAGAAAAATACCGGCGCACAGGAATCTGCCAACATGACGGAGGAGACAGGTGATGCCATGATTTTAAGCGTCAACAGTCCGATTGAATCATGATCTTGGATTCAGGGGCATCTTTCCACTCCACCCCATGCCGAGAAATCATGGAGAACTATGTCAGTGGTGATTTTGGGAAGGTTCATCTAGCTGATGATGAAACCTTGAAGATCGTCGGAAAAGGAGACATCCGACTAAAGCTGCCAAACCAGACCACCTGGAAGCTGACAGGAGTGAGACATATTCCTGGCCTCAAAAGAAATCTGATTTCTGTTGGACAGCTTGATGGAGAAGGATATAGTACAACTTTTTCAGGCTGTGAATGGAAGATTACCAAAGGAGCACTCGTCACTGCTCGTGGTAAGAAGACCAGTACTCTCTATGTAACCTCAAATTTAGAGAATATCATTGCAGTAGCAGATGCTGTTGGAAAATCAAACCTATGGCACCAAAGGCTCGGCCATATGAGCGAGAAAGGAATGAAGATACTTTTGTCAAAAGGGAAGCTGCCGAATCTAAAGAATGTAGATGTCGGACTATGCGAGGATTGCATCTTTGAAAAACAAAAGAAAGTCAGTTTTACAAAGATTGGCAAGACTCCCAAGGCAGAAAGGTTAGAATTGGTTCATACTGATGTATGGGGACCATCCCCTGTTCCATCTCTTGCAGGCTCACTATATTATGTCACCTTCATCGATGATTCAACAAGGAAGGTGTGGGTTTATTTTCTGAAGAAGAAATCAGAAGTCTTTGATACCTTCAGAAAATGGAAGGCCATGGTGGAAAATGAGACTGGTTTGAAAGTTAAGCGGTTGAGGTCTGACAATGGAGGAGAGTACAGAGACAGTAGTTTCAGAGATTTCTGCGCAAACAATGGGATCAAGATGGAGACAACAGTTCCCATAACACCGCAGCAGAATGGCGTAGCAGAGCGCATGAACAGAACTCTGAATGAACGTGCCAGAAGCATGAGGATACATGCCGGATTGCCCAAATTTCTATGGGCTGAAGCTATCAACACTGCAGCTTACCTGATCAACCGTGGGCCCTCAGTTCCTTTGGATGGCGGAATACCAGAGGAAGCTTGGAGCAAGAAAGAAACAAACCTTTCACACTTAAGAGTGTTTGGTTGTATTTCTTATGTACACATAAACTCTGCTGAAAGAAGTAAACTTAATGCCAAGTCCAACAAATGCGTCTTTGTTGGTTACGGTGGTGATGAGTTCGGTTACCGGTTTTGGGACTAGGAAAATCGAAAGATCATCAGAAGCAGAGACGTCATTTTCAATGAAAATGTGATGTACAAAGATAGGTCAACCGCAGAATCAAGTAATACCGAAGCTGAAATAAAAGAATTTGCTGAGTTCGAGGAGATTTCTGGAAATGATGTTCAGATCAATCCTGAAGCAGTTTAAGAAGAACCACACACACCAGAACTGAGACGCTCCTCCAGAATTCCTAAACCAACCCAACGGTATTCGCCTTCTTTGCACTATTTGTTGCTGACTGACAATGGTGAACCAGAGTGCTATGATGAAGCAATGCAGGTGGAGGATTCAGTCAAGTGGGAGTCTTCCATGAAAGATGAGATGGACTCGCTTATGTCAAATCAGACGTGGGAATTAGCTGAATTACCACCAGGCAAGAAAGCGCTCCATAACAAGTGGATTTACAGGATCAAAGAAGAACATGATGGGAGAAAACGCTACAAAGCAAGATTGGTTGTCAAAGGTTTTCAGCAAAAAGAAGGTATTGACTACAATGAAATTTTCTCTCCAGTCGTAAAACTGTCTACAATCAGACTGGTGTTGAAAATTGTAGCTGCAGAGAATTTACATCTTGAGCAGTTAGATGTAAAGACAGCTTTCCTTCATGGTGATTTGGAGGAAGAGATCTATATGAGGCAGCCAGAAGGCTTCATAGAGGCAGGCAAGAAAAACCTGGTATGCAGGTTGAAGAAGAGCTTGTATGGTTTAAAACAAGCTCCTAGACAGTGGTACAAGAAGTTCGATAGTTTCATGAGTAGCAGTGGTTTTACCAGATGCCAAGCAGATCATTGTTGCTACATCAAGAGGTTCGACAATAGTTTCATTATTTTATTGTTGTACGTTGATGACATGCTCGTTGCAGGCTCAAACATGCAAGAGATCATAAACTTGAAGCAGAAATTGTCGAAGCAGTTTGCTATGAAGGATCTGGGCGCTGCAAAGCAGATTCTTGGGATGAGGATCAAGAGAGACACAAATTCGGGGACTTTGATGTTATCACAGGCTGAGTATATCAACAAGGTACTCTCCAGGTTCAACATTCAAGATGCTAAACCAGTAAGTACACCTTTAGGTGTTCATTTCAGACTCTCCAAAGACCAATCACCAAAGACGGAGGAAGAACGTGCACACATGGTGAAGGTGCCGTATGCCTCAACAATTGGAAGTCTGATGTATGCCATGGTTTGTACCAGACCAGATATTGCTCATGCAGTGGGAGCTGTTAGCAGGTACATGAATAATCCGGGCAAGGTAAACTGGGAAGCAGTCGAATGGATCCTCAGATATCTTCGGGGTACCACAAACAAAGCACTTTGTTTCAAAGGTGGAGATATGATACTGACAGGCTATGTAGATGCTGACTTAGCCGGAAATGTCGACATCAGAAGGAGCACTACATGGTATGTCTATGCTCTAGGAGGAACTGCAGTGAGTTGGGTTTCTCAACTACAGAAGATAGTTGCTCTCTCCACAACTGAAGCAGAATATGTCGCTGTTACGGAAGCCAGCAAGGAGATGGTTTGGCTCCAAAGTTTCTTGGAAGAGTTAGGCAAGAAACAAGAAAACAATATCTTGTATTGCGACAGTCAAAGTGCTATCCATCTAGCAAAGAATCCGTCTTTTCATTCCAAGACAAAGCACATACAATTGAGATATCATTTTATCCGGTCTCTTCTGGAAGATGAGATTTTGAAACTTGAAAAGATTAGTGGAGCTCAAAATCCGGCAGACATGTTGACAAAGACGGTGACTACGGACAAACTGAAGTTGTGTTCAGCTTCAGTTGGCATGCTAGAATAACAAGACCAGACATGCTGCTGCATTGATCGAGGTGTGAAGACATATTAAAATCAGTCTTCAAGTGGGAGATTGTTAAAAGTTTCATAGTTTGGCAACCAACTTTGGAAAATATTTTTTCAAAGTTTGGTAAATGTTTCTTTGAAAAAATGTTTTTCAAAGTTTGGTAAAATTTTGGTAGATGTTTGTTGAAAATAGGAATGGGTAAATTCACTTTAGTCATTGCACTTTAGGGTATTTTCAAAGACTAGTCCCTAAGTTTCTACTATAAATACCCTTACCCATTTAGCTTCAAAATCATCCCAAAACATTTCTTTCTTCCTATACTAGAGAGCTTTCTTGTGAGTAGTGAGTGTTTTGTAAACACCTGTAAATTTTCTCTCTTAGTAAAAGATCTGCAGCAGCCCGGAGACGTAAGCACAATTGGCTGAACTCCGTTATCAATTTTCGGGTATTATTTTTCCGCTTTTATTTCGCATTCTCACTAATCTGGTTATAGGGAAATTACTTGTACTTGGTTTATTTCCCAACAACTGTCATCATAGATCACCCGCTGCCAGTTCCATCTAAACTTCCACTGCCGTCTTGGTTTCGAGATTTCCCATCCGAGCTCACCCCAGGAAAAGTTGTGTGAAGGTTGGGTTTCTGAGAGCTATACTCTTTTTTCGTTGGGGAAGTTGAGTCAACGGGAATGTTGAGTTCATTTGCAGTAGATGGCAATAGTTGAGGTGATGAATTATTGGATCCTGGTGGAGGTAGGAAAACTCCGGTGCCAGGAACAGGTAGATGAGGTGGGGAATGCCTTGGAGGAGGAGCCGGCCAAGCAGTTGAACCGGGTGGGACAGGAACCGGAGCCGAGAAAGGAATTGAAGGAGCAACTGGACCGGGCACAAATAAAGTTTGAACACCATTCGGAGGTCGAATTTGTCGCCAAGTCGGGGAGACTGACAGTACACCGGTTGTTGGAACCACTTCATAATACTTGCATCCAACAGAATGTCGAAAATGATTGGGTGATCTATTAGGTGGAAGACACTGTCGAGACGACTGCAAAATCAAAGGTAAAATAAGTCTCTGGTTGTCAGACACAGATTTCCTCGGTTGACACTTGGTAAAGGAAACAAGTATACGTTGCTTCCGGACGGATGGCAGGGCTTGCTTGGCGAAATAAGTCGATTTTCCTTCCATCACAAGGAGAGATCTGCATGATAGTTAAGAAATAACACAATCTCAGGGCTATTAAACAGAACAGGAGACTCATATGGAACTTGAAATACCTTCGAAGCCATAATACCAGTTTTCAAGATCGACTAAATGCCTAACTTTCACCTTAGTGATCCAGAAATATATAGATATTATTAAAATTTTGAAGGATCATGAATGTTTTCATAATCAGAGAAACAGTAAAACTATTACCCGGGTGAAAGAGAAAGCTTTAGAGAGCCTCGAAAGTCCCCAGGATGATCAACTGCAATTACCCTTCCGAAAGCAATTTCGCACTCAGTCAAGAACAGGAGGCAAACAGGCTTTCCGAACCAAGGTGGCCATGTGCAAGGCTGTGAATGATCCCCCTAGAAAGAAAAAGCCACCATACTATCATCCTTAAAAGCTTAGCTCGCTTTATATAAAACCACAAGAAGCACCATCTTTTACCAACCTCATTATAGACATCGATGATGCAGGAATCGGGCTTTGCAGTCATATCTTGCAACTCGACCAAACGTTCAATAGCATCATGCAGAAAGGAAATAGTTATCTAACGGGAATTTTTTATACACATGCTTTGAATTTGATACCTACTCAAACGATATTAAGTTATTTATTACTTAAATCAATTAATAAATTTTTGTTCATTTTTAATTTATAGAAATTTATTTTATCGATAACAAATATCGTATTTGATATAATAAAATAATATAATTAACAACACTGATTATAGAACAAGGGAATTGAGAAAATCATCACCAGAATTTAATCCGTAAAGGGCCAGAGATAACATCAACTAATAAAATGGAATGGAAGCCTAATTTAAATGAAGTAAACCATGTAACATATCAAAACAGAAAACTAAAGGAAATATGCAGCAGAAACATAAGAATATTAGATAAGAAACATAAACGAAGAAGAGAAAACCAACAATTTCATTCATATCATTCTTATCTTTCTTAGCCTAACACATAGGGTTTATACAAACTTTTTCAAAACTCAACTCTAACATTTATTTATTTATAAAATCCCATTACATACCAATATCACGATGATATACAATAAATATGTCGTCTTCCCCATTTATTGGATGCAATCAGTTTCGGGCCAGCTTGCTTAGCTGCGGTGTTGTCATTTACAGTGACGTCGGCAGTGGCGCCTGCCTTCTCCACATGTAATCGGAACTTTGTATCGGGTTTGATCGTAGCAATATCATGTGCTTATTCTTCTTAAAGTTATCCATGTTGCTTCTTTGTGATGAGGGGTGAGAGTGGTTGGGCTTTGGGTGGTGTTGCATGTCTTTGATGGAAACTGGGTTCAAGTTTAATTGAATATTACTTTCAAAGTTGAAGCTTAATTACAAATAAAGATTAAATTGTTGTAATAATCTGATTAAGCTTATTCATGTATTAATAAATTGAATTTCATTTGAGAAAAGAAACTGATATTAGCAATTACTTATGAACACGTTAAATCAAAGACATACACACAAGTTGGTGAAATGATTCACATGAAAGAACAAAAGGTGGACTCACTGGGTTCCTCAGCTTTGGATTTGATATCTACAGATTCCGCAACTCGTGAAGATTTCCCTCTAATTTTCTTGGCATTAGAATTCAGGTCCCCACCTGTGATTTGAATTTCTAGGGGTTTGGGATCTTTTGAAGAATTTCCCCTCTTAATTGGAAGCAACTTATCATGTATGCACCAAGGGAAGCTAATGAAATGTTGTTCATCAGCCCATCTCTGGATAAACCCCAAAAGCTAGGGTGATATGTGACATGGTACCAAGCAGAAGCTTTTGCAAACTTATCTTCTGGGCTACTACTAACCTTCTCATTGAACCAACCTTTTGCTTCTTTTCTCAGTGATTTCACCGCTGCAATGATGTTCTCTAAATCTACCCTTCGATCGTAATATTTGGACAGTTTCAGGATGCATCCACTGATGATTTCAGCCTCGGTTTTTACCCCGAATCTAAGCATCAGGCTAGCTAGCTTATGGTCATACAGACGCTTGTAATGCAAGGCGTCGTTGACATGAGCTAGATACCCTTCAAATTCCATGTCGGGGTCGTAGGAAAGTTTCGCTACCGATCTGGTGAAATGTTTAGCAGTACTGACCTCGGCTTCGATGCTTTTCACCTCGCGGTAGAGCCGACCGATCACAGACTGGGACTCATAGGTTAACCTGTTAGGCTTTTCCATGAAATCCGGGTATTCACTGATGCGTAAACGACTGGGTATTTTGGCCGGAATGCCGGTTTTAGGGAAGTCAACCGCTTTGGACGATAGCTTGGCGAGCGCAATGCATTGCTCGCTCATTGCCTTTGCTGACTCCTTGTCGGCAAACACCGTGTGGGCATTAGAAATGACGCCCAAGCTGTCGTTTATTATGTAGTTAGTGAAATATTCTGCCACATCCTGCACATACAAGTGTATGCACTAAGTTATTTAGATTCTTCAAGATTTATACCGCATGTGTATCAGACAATTTTAATATATATATATATACACACACATACACACTTATATCGAATACTAACCCGAAACCCGAGAAATGCAGACATGTTTCATGCAATGGTAGTATTAATGTTAATGATTTGAGCAAATACCTCCATTGTGACATCACGATCCAAAAGCTTAGTTGGTTCAGCACGATAATCCATGGGCGGAAAATTGCAGGGAGGAATGAGATCTTCATCCCAAGAAACGAAATACAGATCGCCATCAAGATCACTGCCGGAGCATTCATTTGGATGGGGTCTGTTTGATCATGTAACCACTATCAGTAAAACAAGTATTTAGCAATCGAGAAAGTAAGTTCCTTGGACTCTTTCGTTAGTTTAAAATATTCGTGTTCAACACATATTTAAATACGGATCCTCAAGTATTTAAAAAAGTGCATTCGAGTATTGGAAAGTCATACCTAGGGCCTTTTTGAGGGAACACAATGCAATCCACCATGTGATGCAGGACCACAACATCCACAGCCTGTAGAACCCGTAGGTCTCCAGGGTGCAAACAAGGGTTTTTAGCAATTGAGACCTTCCCCTCGACGATATGGCAATTTCGATTTGATTGACGATCGTTGAATGTTAATAAGGTCTCATTGGAAGATTGCCTTGATTTAGAGTCGGAGTATTGCACAAAAACCTGACCATATTCAAGTGTCCCGGTTTCATCCAGGCACCCCATTAGAATCCCTCCTTTCTCAATCAAAATCCTTGTTCTTGTCCTCAAATCGAGCAGTTTTGAGGCACGAATCGTTCGTAACATCATTGAAAGGAAAGGTTCAGAATCTGGTTTGTAACCGCACAGAATCATTTCTCTTAAGATTTTTACAAGTTCACCATGGCATATCCTATCCATTGCCTCCCTTGCCTTTTCTGGATCCACCAAAATTGCATCCAATTGAGCTAAAAACTCTTTCTGCTTCATCTCGAAAACACTATCCTTGACCCCAAGAGTCGACATAAGGATAATTATTTGTCGGTTAAGGTAGCAAGGGTGAAGTTTGCTCCATGACAAAACATCAAGACTTGTAGAGTCCGCGTCAAACTTCTGCATACTCTCTCTCAAGGATAATTTCGCCGAAGATGATGGATCGACAGCTACGACTCCTTTGTAACCGCCATACCGAATTTGAAACGCGGATGGTGTGTTTCTCAATCCACATTTCCTAGCTACTTCCCTGGCTAGTTTAGCCGATATTTTCCCAATGCCATCAGAGAAATTATACTTAGTGTCATCATCGATTTTAACTTCTATATCGGGAATTATCTCGATTTCGTTCTGGCTCACTTGCAAGGTTTCCCTAGATGAACTTAGAGACTGGCCTAATCTGGCTGCATATTTGGCCACATTCCTTATGACATGGATATGACCCATTTTCTCTCGTATCCCCTCAGCAGTAAGCCCAGGCTTTGAGGCAAACATCCAAATAGAGTTCTCTCTTAATTGACTTGTCGAACAAGCAAGAAACTCGAATTTCTTGTCTCCAATAAGTATACCATTTCTGAGAGTCGACAATATCCTCTGATATATTCGTGTAGGCTTTCCATCAGTAACCGATGTGCTGGAAGACAAATCAGACGAATGTATCTTTCCAAGCTCCTCGTCAACAAAAGAAACTCGAAGAAAATTGTCAATATCTTTGATATAATTTCGAAGAACACGATTGGAGAGATTGATATCTGGACCGCTGAAATAAACCTTAGAAGGTGTCACTTGAATTCTTCTTACGGCTACCAACCCTTCAGGAAGAATGGGAGGTCTAGGAGGCTTGTTGCGGTATTCTTTGTATTGTTCATTCAGCCATTTAACAGGCTCATAGCAACAGTCTTTGAGGCTGAACATTTTCTCCAGTGCATGTTCGATGAACACGGTATCGATCCGATTGGGATCGACAGACTCGAAGAACCGGGAATCGAGTGTCGTGGGAGGAAGAAAACCGTTTTGGACCAAAGAATTGACTTTGAACAAGATATTGTAGGGTATGTGAATGGCTGCAGGTGGGTTTATGATGGGAACGAGATCAGTGTTGGATGAAAAGGTTGATCCTTCCTGGAGAAGGAAATGGTCTTCTACTTTCTTGTAGAACAAACTGGGATCAAACTTGGGGAGTTGAACTGATCGAGGAATCTCCAAACATATTGCAAAAGATTGGCCAATGCAATTTCCTGGTGTGAAATCCACTTCCCTAACCCACTGTTCATCCTCTGCAACTTCCCTTGAGGTGCTCAGAGCTGATGGATCTCTCTCATAGATCCGGGGGGCTCCCATAGCTAGAATATATGATACAATGAAGTCAATAATCATATTTATTTTTTATTTAAATCTAATGAGTTTTACTTCTAGTTTTAAAATATGTTGAATTCAATAAGTAGGAAAATGCAATTATTTTTATTAAAAGTTTACATTTTAAATAATTTTGTCTTTTTTATTAAAAAAAATTATTCGAATCTATCTAAAATAATATAAACTATTATACTGAAAGATTAAAGTAATAAAATAAATATTTTTAAAAATAATAACACTATTATTAAGCAATGCAATTATTCAAACTAATATAAAATTTTAACTTTATAAAATCAAAATTGTAAATTAATAATTTTCAGAAATTCAATATTTAATGTTAGCAAAAAAATATAATTATATATATACTACATACTTCATTCTTAGGAACATATACCGTAAATTCTTTATATGAAAAAATAAAAATCGAGGAATAAGTCAGATTGTAGCCTTTATAACTATCCAATTTTTATTTTAGTACTTAGTTTTTTGTTTAATCTACATTTATACTTAAATTTGTATATTTATTAAATTAGTATCTATTTTTTGGCCCACACTATAAAATAATGAGAAATTGTAATATATATGTAAAATTTATAAAAATTAAAATCATTTATAACAAAATACCGGTATCAGAAAAGTAAACAAATTCAGATAAAAAAAATTTAGGTACCAGTATAGAAAAAATGAATAAGTTGAAGGATTAAAATATGACTTATTCAAAAATTTACTATATAAC